CCTAAAGGCTGAGAGATAGAGGGATATTTTCAAAGAAGCTTTGCGGTCGTGCTAATATGAAAGCATGGCCCCTGGACAGGAACTTTGCAGAGGAGTGGAAGGGCATGGACAAGGAATGATCCAATCCAAGAATATGAACCCTCTAATGCCAGTCCATAGTATATTATAAGAATTTTAATTCCAAAGATACTTCCAACAGGTTCTTTGGGATTTTTGAGTTGCTATAAATAATGAAGAAATTAATATTTCTGGGCAAGAGATTAATTCTTCCAATTCTCCACGCTTTTTTTTTTGATTTTTTGAGACGGAGTCTCGCTCTGTCGCCCAGGCTGGAGTGCAGTGGCCGGATCTCAGCTCACTGCAAGCTCCGCCTCCCGGGTTTACGCCATTCTCCTGCCTCAGCCTCCCGAGTAGCTGGGACTACAGGCGCCCGCCACCTCGCCCGGCTAGTTTTTTTGTATTTTTTAGTAGAGACGGGGTTTCACCGTGTTAGCCAGGATGGTCTCGATCTCCTGACCTCGTGATCCGCCCGTCTCGGCCTCCCAAAGTGCTGGGATTACAGGCTTGAGCCACCGCGCCCGGCAACTTCCTGTATTTCAAACTACAGGTCATATTAAGCTCTGATTTTGGTTACCAGCCAAGCAATAATGGTGACCATGTGAGAAAAGGGACAATCAAGTTTTCAGCCACAGGCTGGGTATGGTGTCTCACACCTATAATCCCAGCACTTCAGAAGGCCGAGGCAGGCAGATCACTTGCGCCCAGGAGTTCAAGACCAGCCTGGGCATCATGGCACAACCATCTATCCACAAAAAATTTAAAAATTCTGGGTGTGGTGGGACACGCCTATAGTCCCAGCTACTCCAAGAGGCTGAAGTGTGAGGAACGCTGGAGCCCAGGAGATCAAGGCAGCAGCAAGCCATGATTACATCACTGCCCTCCAGCTTGGGGGATAGTAAGACCCTGAGAAAGAAAAATAAAGAAAAGAGAGAAAAGAAGAGAGAGAGGGAAGGGAGGGAGGAAAGGAAGGAGGGAGAGAAAGAAGTTTCCAGTCACAAGGGAAGCATGGAAAGTAGAATCAGTGGGGAGGTTGCTTAAGGGTTGAGAGGGAGAGTCAAGAGAGGGTCAATGTTTTCTAAGATCCTTGAATCCTTCTTGTTAGTCTCATCCCAATAATCCAAATTCCAATATTTTCCTCATTGTTTAACAGAAGTGACAAGGTTGTGAATTCAGTAAGCATCATCATTGAGCAAATAACTGCATCTACTGCTGCCTTTGATTTTTAGCAAATGCAGCCTCATGCTTAGAAGGAGTATGAGATTCTTGCCAACACAGACATCCAGGTAATGATTCAATTCCTTAAGGCCAGAATTTCAAGTAGCCTTGAAATTGTAATTACCCAATTTCATTATAAATAGGTATCATATATACTTTTGGGAGTAGTATTCCTCAATACCTTTGTTTTTGGTAGGAGCTATCCAGCCCCTAGTGCACAATGGGCTTAGAATTTTGCTATGTCATGAATATCCTTTCACAGCACAAAATAGGATTAGGAATTTACCTGTGCTTTGATCTGTCTCACTCGACATCCATCTTGAACACTCTGCTTCTCTACAGCCTAGTAATCATTCTGTAGTATAAATTTCTGTATTGGCTAGCTCTCTTTGCTTGAGAACCAAAGAACTTGACTCTAACTTAAAATTAGAAATATTAGAATACCAGGTAGTTCACAGATTCAAAGAACTGAACTCAAATCCAGGATGTGAGAAAGCAGGAATCATCCCAATGGATCTCAGTGACAGGTGGAGGAATCCTTAGGTTGCTGCCAAAGGATGACTTAATTCAAACGAATTCCAGCCTAGGAGTCATATCCCACATACTTCACGGCAGGTACAAAAATGTCCCACCAATCAAAATGGATATTGACTAAAACAGAACATCCATTTTGGCCATACTGGTTCATAAAGCCGAATATTGGCCCTGTTCCTGTCCCTGTGTCTTTCAATCAAAATACAGAGAATGAATCTGGTTGGCTTCATTGGAACATACGTCACTGACAGTTCACCAGAACAATACAGAAGGAAGAAAGGGAAAGGGCCCACAAAATGCTAGGAAAAGTCTGTGTGTTAAAGATAAAACCAGATTTCAACATATCTACCGAGGCTGTGCATGTGTATGTATGTTCATACACACATATATATTCAGTATTAATTTTGACTCTGACTAGATCATTTTACATGTAAGGTTCTGTAAACCACATATTTCATTAAATATGTTGTAGATGCCATTCCACAGAAGTATATGTAGAGCTTAACTGCTTTCTACTAACTGCACAACACAGTACTGAATAACTACAGTTTAATCAATCCACTTGGCAGGGCACTGAATTCCTATTTGTCATAATTAAGACAGTTCTACAAGAGAACATTTATATCTACCTATCTATTCCAATGGGATAAACTTCCTAGATCTGGAATTACTGTTTGAGAAAACTTCACATTTATAATGTTGGTAGGTCATACTATCCAAGGAGATAGGGGACGAAGTGACACTGCTAATAATGATCAAGGACCTGTTTTCCCACACTAATACTATCCTGGATATTATCCACATTTTATATCGTAATCTACCTAGGAGCCAGGAAAATGTGGTTTCATTCATATTCTTCTGATTAATGAGGTTAAGCATTTCACGAATTTTCTTTATTCATTTGGATTCTTCAGGGTGATTTGCTTATCAGTGTGTATGGCCAGTTGTTCCCCACTGCTCTGTATATGTAATAGCATTCTGTTATTTTCTCTAAGTTGCACACATTTTCCTTCAATTGTCTTATTACAAGTTTTTGGTGCCTTTCACCATGCTGAAGTTTTAGATCGTTGCATAGCCCAACTTGTTCTCTATTTCTTTATGGCTTCTAGGACTCCATGTCCTACTTGATAAAAGGTTCCTTTTTTTCTACATTTGCCTCTAACGTGTTATTTTATGATTAGATATGTCAAATACGATATGCATATTTCTCTGTAAGGTGTAAATGTGCTTCTTTTTTCTTGGAGAGGGTGGATAAAATTGTCAAAACATCATTTCCCCGATATTGAAATAATACTGCTATTATATACCAAAATCTCATATGCAAAGAAATCTATTTCAAAAATTTTGGGGAAGGCTGAGGCAGGAGAATCACTTGAGGCAAGGAGCCCAAGACCAGCCTGGGCAACAAAGCGAGACACAGTCTCTACAAAAAAAATATATATATATTTTAAGGTTACAGTGAGCTAGGATCTTAGCACTGCACTCCACTCCAGCCTGGATGATAGAGTGAGGCCTCCATCTCTTAAAAAAAAAGAAAAATTATTGGCTGGGCATGGTGGCTCACACCTGTAATCTCAGCACTTTGAGAGGCTGAGGAGGGTGGATCACGAGGTCAGGAGTTCAAGACCAGCCTGGCCAAGGTGGTGAAACCCCATCTCTACTAAAAATACAAAAATTAGCTGGGCGTGGTGGCGGATGCCTGTAATCCCAGCTACTCAGGAGGCTGAGGCAGAGAATTGCTTGAACCTGGGAGGCGGAGGTTGCAGTGAGCTGAGATTGTGCCACTGCACTCCAGCCTGGGCAACACCAGTGAGACTCCATCTCAAAAAAAAAAAAAAAAAATTCTTGCTATTCTTGCCTAATTATGCTTCCCTGTAACTGTCAAAGCAAATACATCTTACTGGGACTGATTTATAATTTACAAACACTTGAACAATATTATTTCTTCTGGAAAAATATCATTTCTCCTTTTATTGACATCTTTATTTTTCAATATAGTTTAATAATTTCCTTTCACCTCTATTGATAAATGAGTTCCTTTATCATTTGTTTTGTTTTTGGTGTGAGAGTTGTATTGCCCTCATAAAATTAGAATCTTTTATACCGTTTTCTCTACTCTAGAGCAGACGTTGGCAAACTTTCTGTTAAAGGATAGGAAATATTTGAAGTGTTGCGAGCCATATAGTCTTTCACAGTTGTCTAAAGCAGCCATCGTCAATAGCTAAACAAGTAAGCATGGCTGTGGTTTGATAAAACTCTGTTTACAAAAACAGGCAGCAGACAGGATTGGGCCCATGAGCTTTAGTTTGATAACCTCTGCTCCATAGCAGGGATCACACACATTTTCTGTGTAGGATCAGACAGTAGATATTTGTGCTGTGCAGGCCACATGGTCTCCCGTCACAACTGCTCAACTCTGTTGCTGTAGCCTGGAAGCAGCACAGTCAAGGTATAAATCAGCGTGTGGCTGAAGCCAACAAAACTTTATTTACAGACGCCAAAACTTAAATTTCATATAATTTTCATGTTGAAAATATTCTTTTCACTTTTTTCAACCCTTTAAAATTTTTTAAAATTCTAGATCATGGACCATACAAAAACAGTCAGTGAGACTGTGGCCATGAGTCATAGTTTGCTGACCCCTACTCTGGATCAGTTTACCTCACAATGAATGGTTCCTTAAAAGTTTTAATACAGGCCGGGCACAGTGGCTCAAGCCTGTAATCCCAGCACTTTGGGAGGCCGAGACGGGTGGATCACAAGGTCAGGAGATCGAGACCATCCTGGCTAACACGGTGAAACCCCGTCTCTACTAAAAAAAATACAAAAAACTAGCCGGGCGCCGTGGCGGGCGCCTGTAGTCCCAGCTACTCGGGAGGCTGAGGCAGGAGAATGGCGTAAACCCGGGAGGCGGAGCTTGCAGTGAGCTGAGATCCGGCCACTGCACTCCAGCCTGGGCGACAGAGCGAGACTCCGCCTAAAAAAAAAAAAAAAAAAAAAAAAAGTTTTAATACAGTTAATTGATAAATGTGATTTTTAAACAGGTCAAATCTTGTAAAGTTTTCTAATTCTTGAGTAACATGTCAGTTGTTTTAACTTCATGCATATAAATCGTGCATTTTTCTGATTTTTTAAACTCGTTTGTCACAGGTGGCCTATTCATTCATGGTCCCTAGACTTTCTAAAACAAATCAAGTCAAATGTAAAGTTTAATTTTCTCACCAACAAGGTCACATCACCTTACATTCACACAGGGTCAGATGGAAAGCCACAAAACTAACTCGGCATTATAGAATCAAGTTTTAAACCAACAAAGGCAAAACCTCACCCACTACTGGAGAACGCTGTTCCTGCTCTAAAATGTGCTTTTTCCTACCCTCATCCTACTGCATCGTTTTTTATCAGAGCTGACTACTGTAACTTTTCAACGTTCAAATACAAAGTTTTTAAAAGAGCTAAGTTTACTGAGCACTTAATATGGACCAGACATTGTGCTGAGCACATCTCACGCATTAACCAATTAAAGAAACTATAAGTTTTACAAGAGGAGTGAATAAGTTACATTTACACTTATGTGAAGAACAAACTAATAAGGGACAAAAAGAAAACAAAAGGGCAGGGAGATGGGGTTTTAAACTGCTGGAGTACTCAAACAGAAATGACGTCTTGAGGCTATGGTGATGGGAGGGAGGATGGATTCCAGAGAAATTTGGGAAACAGATCCACGGGATTTGATGTGGAAGGTAAAGAGGGGCATGTTGACGACTCTCCAGTATGAATTCGCTGATGATGAGCTAAGTGTGCAGTTTGCCTGAAGACTTTTCTGCTTTTCTTATAGTTGTAAGATCTCTCTCCAGTATGAACCCTCTTATGTTGATTAAGGTGTCCAATTTGGATGAAGGTTTTCCTACATTCCTTACATTCATATGGTTTCTTTCCAGAATGAATTCTCTGATGTACACTAAGGGATTGACGATGACTAAAGGCTTTGCCACACGCACTACATTCATAAGGTTTTTCTCCAGTATGACTTCTGCGATGACAAATAAGGGAGGATTTTGTCTTGAATGCTTTTCCACACTCAATACATTCATAAGGTCTTTGGCCAGTGTGTAGTCTTTGATGTTGAGTACAGGATGAGTTATCACCAAAGGCTTTCCCACATTCTATACATTTATAGGGTTTCTCACCAGTGTGAACTCTCTGATGTTGAATGAGGTGTGTGGTCTGGCTGAAGGCTTTACCGCATTCCTTGCACTCATATGGTTTCTCTCCTGTATGGGTTTTCTGATGCTGTGCAAGGTGAGCCTTCTGGGTGAACGCTTTACTACAAACCTTACATTCATAGGGCTTCTCTCCAGTATGGATTCTCTGATGAGTGGCAAGCTGAGAACTGATGCTGAAGGATTTTCCACACTCCCCACATTCAAAAGGCTTTTCCCCAGTATGAATCCTTAAATGACTGGCAAGGTGTATATTCTGCCTAAAAGCTTTTCCGCACTCTTTACACTTAAAAGGCTTTTCTCCAGAATGTACTCTTTGATGTTGAGTGAGTGATGCATGATGGCTGAAGGCTTTTCTGCAAACATCACATTCATATGGTTTTTCTCCAGTATGAATCCTTTGATGTACAGTAAGGGAGGAACCATACCTGAAGGATTTGTGACATACATCACATTTGTAAGGTTTCTCTCCAGTATGAATTCTCCTGTGTTGATTAAGCCCTATGTGGTCACTGAAGGCTTTCCCACAATCGATGCAATCAAAGGGTTTCTCCCCAGTGTGATAGTATCTCCAGTGACGGATAAGGGATGTGTTCTGGATGAAAGCTTTCCCACACTCAATGCACTCATAGGGCTTCTTGCCAGTGTGACATCTCTGGTGTCGGGCAAAGGACGAGCCATCACTAAAGGCCTTCCCACACTCGTTACATTTATAAGGTTTCTCTCCAGTATGAATTCTCTGATGAACAGTAAGAGATGAGCTCTGGGTAAAAGTTTTCTTACATTCATTACACTTGAAAAGCTTTTTTCCTGCATAGATGCCTGTCTGTTTTATTACCACTGAACTTTTTTGAAAATTTTTAATTGAATCACGATTATGAACTTTCTCTTCTGAATCATCCAAATGAAACCATCTTCCAGATTTGTTATATGTACGTTCTCTTTCCCTAGAGAGGGTTTTGTTATGAGTAATTGGCTCTTCCCTGAATTGTGTCTCTCGACCTACTGCAAGCTTCCTTCCAAACACACAGTCAGAATCCCAATTTTCTCTGAAACTGGAACACTCAAGTTTAGTGTTTGAGGTTCTGTCTGTTTCTCCTTCAGCATATGAATCTTGCTTTGGAAATAATTCCTGGGTCTCACGTACAGATCGCTGGCCTGAAAGATACCAAGAAAACACACATTTCCTTTTTCATGTGCTAGGAAAAAGGAATCTGCCAAAGGGAAAACTAGTGAATTAATTCACTGATTGGTGAATTCATCAACATACATTTTACACCTCTAAAAACTATTACATTTAGGGCCAGGCACAGTGGCTTACACCAGTAATCCCCGTGCTTTGGGAGGCTGAGGCGGATCACTTGAGGCAGATCACTTGAGGCCAGGAGTTCAAGACCAGCCTCCACAACATAGCAAGACCCTGTCTCTAAAAAACTTCTTAAAAAATTAGCCAGGCATGGTAGTATGTGCTTGTAGTCCCAGCTACTCAGGAGGTAAAGGCAGGAGGATTGCTTGAGCGTAGGAGGTTGACGTGGCAGTAAACTATGATCAGGCCACTGCACTCCAGCCCGGGCAACAGAGCCAGTCTCTGACTCAAAAAACAATAATAATAATTTTCACATTTTCCTGGTTACTTCCACAAGCCTGAAAACATCCTCAGTTCTCTGGCCATTCCACAATGAAGCCTTGCATTTTCTCTTTTTTTGGCAATAAATATTTTTCCAGCTTTATTGAGGCACAGTTGACAAATAAAAATTGTATATATTTAAGGTATAAAATGTTTTGATATGCTCATACATGGTGAAATGTTTACCACAATCAAGCTAATTAACATATCACCTCACATAATATACTGTCACTGAATTGTACACTTTAAAATGGTTAAATTTTATGTGTCCTTTTCTATAATAAAAATATGTAAATAAAACAAACATGTAAAAAATATGTAAAATAAAACAAACGTAAAAAATATGTAAAATAAAACAGACCACACAGCAAAATACAGAAGAGAAAGGTAAGGAAAGAAGGGAAAAATGAGAAGGAAAGAAAGAAAAGGAAGGAAGGGGATACAGGAGAGAGAAATAATAAGTTACAGAAGGTCAAACAGATGTATTATATTATTGAAATGGGACATCTATTCATTTTTTAAAATCTAGGAGTGAAACAAATGAAAAAATCAACAAAGTACGTGCTTCTATAAATGAAGATAACTCCCAAGTTAAGCTACTATATAGTAAGAAATACCATATGCAAACTTCTAGACCACAGAAAATTGGGGGAAAATTTTATCAAACTTAAAAAAAAAAGCATTCATATCAATGTTGCATAAATACAGGAAAATATACAGCCAATAGAAATGTGAGTAATGAGTATAAACACACTATGAATAGAATACAAACTCTAAATAGATTTAAGTGCACATATTCTCAACATCATAAGTAGTTGGGGAAATGCAAATTAAATAAAACATTTTTCATCTAGCAGCTTGGCAAAATTTTTTTTAAACTGCAAAATAGCCATATTGGCGATGATGTCTAGAAACAGTATTCTCATATATTCTTTACCAATGGTACAGCAAAATATCTATGACACTTTAAAAATATGTATGCTTTGACCATGCAAATTCATTTCCAAGCATATATCTTCAAGAAATATTCTGACATGTAAGCAAGAAGATATATACAAACTGGACCACTGTTGATTATAGGTAAAAACTGGAGAAGACCTCCTAAATGTTTAAATATCCTCAACAGTAAATAATTTAAATAAATTATGTATATTCGTATGTTATAATACTAAATAGTCATTAAAAATGAAATAGAACTATATGTGTTAAGTTGTTAGGCACACAAATAGGATAAATCACATTAGAAATACACTGGACTATATAAAAATTGAAAAATTTTACATGCCATAATTTTATTTTTATTTTTTAATTTTTATTTATTTATTTATTTTTTGAGACGGAGTCTTGCTCTTTCGCTGGGACTGGAGTGCAGTGGCCGAATCTCAGCTCACTGCAAGCTCCGCCTCCCGGGTTTACGCCATTCTCCTGCCTCAGCCTCCTGTGTAGCTGGGACTACAGGCGCCCGCCACCTCGCCCGGCTAGTTTTTTGTATTTTTTAGTAGAGACGGGGTTTCACCGTGTTAGCCAGGATGGTCTCGATCTCCTGACCTCGTGATCCGCCCGTCTCAGCCTCCCAAACTGCTGGGATTACAGGCTTGAGCCACCACGCCTGGCCAGACATGCCATAATTTTAAAAGACCTAATTAAAATAAAAACTTTTATTGCCATAGGTGAAAAATAGTTTGAGACAATATATCACAGAATTAGTATGCTTATATACATAGCAATCACTGAGACTGTTAAGAAAATATTTAACACACGAGAACTGGGTACGAATGACAGACATTTTACAAAAAGATAAGAGAAAAACCAAATTTACAAAAAAATGTTCAATTTCTTTCATAAAAATAATTTTAGTGTATAATCTTTCAACAAATAATGAGCACAAGTTTTCATGTAAATAACCAATGCTTTCAAGATGCAATTAAACTCATCCATCTAATTGTTGCTAGTCACCAAAAACAAAACTCTCAGAGCCCAGCAGGTGCTCATATCCAGGAATACAGCAATCCCCAAAATGTGTGGTTTTCACTTAACTTGAAAAATCTATTCTATCTTTAACACTAAGAAATGTAAAGCAACCTAACTGAGCAATGGCATATACAATGTGGAATCCACATGAAAAACATGTGAACGCATAACAATATACACTATAATTTCTACTGTGTGAAAAATGTGTTTATCCTAACTTAAATGGGTCTAAGGTATATGTTGTGATAAGGTCATGGTTTTCTATTCTTTTGCCAAACTAAACAATTACATATTCTACAAACCATTATTTCTATGGAAGTTTCCTTTCTTTCCCTTGTGTATCAAGAGGAAAAGATCCTTTACTTCCGCCTTCTTGCAATTCAACTTCTGCCCACCTGTCCTACTAAAACATAGAAGCCACTGGGAACAACATCTCCTTTGTCTCTGTAATGCCCTATTTGAAATTCTGCAAATTCGACTTCATGCAAGCTATCCATAAACATGTCTTATCCTTTCCATTATAGTAATTCACTGACGGTTTACATTTATGTGTAATTCTCTGTTTCCAATCGCCTGCCAATACTCAGCAGAGTGGCTCAGTCACATAACTTTCAATTGGTGGTTCTCACAGGAATGGATGCATGATGAAAATAATAGGCTATTTAACCATAGAAGAGAAAACCTTTGGAAGTCAGCTCAAAAATGCATCAGGGTCCGGAAAAGGAAGTGAGTGGATGATACACGTCCCAGTTCCTCATTTAAGGAAGTGAGTGGATGATACATGTCCCAGTGGTCAAGAAAAAAAGGAGCTGCAGGGAAATGGGAGTTACTGGAGAGAAGGGGGCAAAGGAGGAGGAAAGAATTATTTGGAAATCCTGGAGTTCAATTTTCTTTCCAGACCTGGAGAGCCTGGTAAAGTTTCCTGCTGTATATCAGTGAGGATGCAGCCTGTTTAATAAAAGCCCTGCTCTCTCTTACAGTGACTTTTCCACACTAAGCTCTCCTGCACTCACCTGATAACAGGCTTCCTGTCAGTTCTTGCTTCACCATCCAGGGCTCCTTTTCTTGCTGTAGTAAAGAGACTAAATCTGGCTTAGCCACACAATGTCCTGCAAAAGTGAAAAGAGAGGAGGTTTGGCCAATACTTTTGGCATCCTAAAATTGAGAACCACTCCTTGTTGATAGAAAAGTGTTACTGCTGAAAGAAGCAGAAAAGCAGGTGAGTAGGATCTGAAAGACACAGAAGGTAACGCTTTAAGCATAACAAAGACCATCTTTCACCTCTACAAATGCCAAATTCTTGTCTTAGAAATCCACAACAAAAATTCAGGCCAGCACGTCACAAGACACTCCCTCCCTCCTCCATAATTCAAAACTGGTTTGAAAATGGAGGTACCCGATGATAGATTCAGATATGGGAGAAGGACATCCTTACCTGCTGATCCCAGGTCACTATGGTTCTCCCATATCCCATTCTTACAGAAATTCTTCTGAGCTGGGTGTAGCTGCTGGGGGAAGTCAACAGCCAGGTTTTTGATAGTCACCAAGCCCTGCAATGGTAAAAGCACGTTTTTAAAATCAAACCATGTTCATGAACCCACCTGGTCCCAGTGGGATGGACTGTGTCTACACACTGCAAAAAAGGCACTCCATACCAAGAACTGCAACTTAAGTTCTGGTATACCAGGTCACACAATGATAGGGCTCAGTTATAGCATATGTGTTTGGGGAAAAACACAGAAAAATAGGAGAAACTTTCTGCTATGGAGAATTTGTCACACTTACACACAGTATGAACCTTTTAACACAGACTGAAGGCTTTCCCATATTCACACAAATTATTCAACAAGTCCACAGAGTTTTTCTCTTGTATGAAATCTTTGATGAAAAGGAGGGGTCGATATTCTGCTCAAAGCTTTCTTACATTCATCGCAAGTCAAACATTTCTGACCTTGACAGATTTGTTTGTAATTCATTACAACTCAGTTTCACCCTCCACTGTTCTTATGTGTATCGAGATTAGGCACTCTCTGTTCTGAGGGGATAATCTGTCTATAAGAAGTATTGTATTCAAATGAAAACTTCTCCTATAGTTATTGTAGTCATGGTCTCTTCCCTCAAGAAGAGTTTCCTCATGAAGGATACTTCCTCTTGCCTGAAATGTGTCTTCTGACTTACCGGCTGTGTGTCAAACAGAGCATCATAATCCCAGTGTTCCCCTAACAGAGAGTACTCCAGAGTATAGCTTGTGAGTCTCTCTGTTATCACTGCCTGGGATAGCTTTCCTTCACAGAAGTCCTTCTTGAGAGGTAACTCCTTGATCTTCCGCACAGTCTTCAAGTCTGAAAGATATAAAGAAGGCAAATTATCTTTTATCGTGTTAGTATGAAGAAAAATTCCAAAATGTAACCATTAAATTAAAAGCCACAAAAAAGCATATGATAGTCACTTATTTTTATGGAAGAAAATGAAAAGCAAAGCTTTCTTATATTTTGAAAGCTTTCTTATATTACTAGCAATATTCAACCAACCCTACATTCCTAAATTTGTGTAGCCATAGTCCTAAAGGACACAATAAGACCTTTCCCACCTAAAAGTTGAACAAGAGTTCACATTATGTTTTTAGCAGAAGACTGGAAAAAGCAATTAAAAATCAAGAGATAAGGGAGCTCACAAAAAAAAAGTATGATAAAATGTCTAATATAAAGAGAAAGTAGAGGCTATAGAAGAAAACTTGCTATATGATCCTTATTTCAGCTTTAAGTCAACTCTTTTTCACTCTCCATTTCACCTAGCAAAAATTTCATCTATCTCTATATACATCCTTTTTTTTATTATAGTGCTAACTAATAAAAGTCCAGATCCTGGCCTTAAAAATGTAAGTCTTCAGGCCAGGCGCGGTGGCTCAAGCCTGTAATCCCAGCACTTTGGGAGGCCGAGATGGGTGGATCACAAGGTCAGGAGATCGAGACCATCCTGGCTAACACGGTGAAACCCCATCTCTACTAAAAAATACAAAAAACTAGCCGGGCGAGGTGACGGGCGCCTGTAGTCCCAGCTACTCGGGAGGCTGAGGCAGGAGAATGCCCAGCTACTCGGGAGGCTGAGGCAGGAGAAATGGCGTGAACCCAGGAGGCGGAGCTTGCAGTGAGCTGAGATTCCGCCACTGCACTCCAGCCTGGGCAACAGAGCAAGACTCTGTCTCAAAAAAAAAAAAAAAAGAAAAAAAAAATGTAAGTCTTCATAATTAACTAGTCTCAACAAGAGATGAAGGATCTGCAGGAAGAAAAAACAGTTTTATGTCATTAAACTAGCTCGAAGTATGTGATTTCATATGATGTTAAATTGGAAACTTCACACAAACATTCTTGTTCTCTGATGCCATATGATGACCCATGTGAGTCACTTTAATTTATAACTGTCAGTAACTTGTCCTGGTGTCAATGCAAGCGTTTCCTTTAAATGTGAATTGAACAAAGAAACCTTGTAAGATTCTCAGTTCTTTAGAAACTATTACCATTTCCTATTAGGATAAAACCTCTGAAAGAAATCTATAATTCTAATTCCTTGTCTTACTTGATAATTTGCTGTTCTAGAAATAAAAGATGTAGTTGAAATTTTTGTATTCCCAAATAGTATAAATAACAGATACTGCAAGAGGCTTAGAAAGAGTCTGTTGAAGATGCTGCGTGTCTGAGGCAGCTGAACTGTGACCAGCAGTAGCCTCACCCTACCTGGTTCTCCCACACTCACCTGGGCACCAGGCTCTTGTCATTTTTCTCTTCACTGTCCAAGGCTCTTTTCCTTGTTCCAATGAGGAGATCACATCGGGCTTAGAAACACAAAGTCCTAGACACATAAAAAACAACCTGGTCACATACTGTCCAGACTGAGATGCAGTCCCCTTGGCTTGACGCGAGAGGGCAGTGCAGGTCTTGGTGATAAAGGCATGAAAGGCTTCTTAGGTCAAGGAAGTGGGTAGGGTGAGGGGTGGAAAAAGGAGTGGGAGCCCTTACCCAGCGATGCCAGGTTCCTGTAGTTCTCCAACATCACCTTCCTGTATAAATTCCTCTGATTGGGGTTCAGCCACTCCCACTCCTCTTGGGAGAAATCTACGGCCACATCCCCAAATGTCACCAAGCCCTGAAATGATATAACCATGTTCTTGCTCAACCAGTGCTCATGCCCCGACATGACTGGGGGGCTGTTATAGAAAGAAATGTGTCCCCCGACAAAACTACTACATTAAAGTCCTATTCCCCAGCACTTTTGAATGTGACTGTATTTAGAGACAGGGCCTTCAAAGAGGTAATTAGGGTTAAATGAGGTCATATGGGTGGGGCCCTAACCCAATCTGACTGGTGTCCTTATTAAAAGAAGAAGAGATACCACGGTGTGCAGGCACAGGGAAAAGGCCACGTGAGGACACAGGGAGAAGACGGCCATCTGCAAGCCAAGGAGAGAGGCTTCAGGAGAAACCAAACCTGCAGGCACCTTGATCTTGGACTTCCAGCCTCCAGAACCTTGAGAAAAGAAATTCCTGTTGTTTAAGACACCCACTCTGTGGTATTTGTTCTGGCAGCCCTAACAAACTAATATAGGGGTCTAAAGATTCCTTGTCTTCATTTTGAGTAAGAGACTATAAACTCAGTACTCTGGAGATCTAGTTAGGTATTATACAGCTAGCCTCATTCTGTCTTAAACTCTAGGGAAAAGAGAAAAATATGGAGACAGCCCCTGCCTTTGGAGAACTTGCAGTTTTGTGGAGTGAAAGGAGGCAGCCGCAAGAAAAACCCCTGACATCAATTCAAAACTATAAATAACGAAGACTAACTTGTTCTATGCACAATAGGTACTACAGCACTGTCCAACATGGGGACATTTGAGTGGCCTGAAGCAGCGTAAGAATGGGACAATAAACTTGAGATGAACCTCAAAGCATCAATATTATTCATGACTAAACTGGGTTCTAAGAATTTCTATTTTTACTGTTAGTGTTCAGTAGAGGTTCATTTAAAAAAATCTAGCAATATTCTTTTTCTAAAATGAATATGTAATAAGAATGAAAAACACTATAGTGTTTTAAATTAATGAAATGCTTTTAAGAACCAAGGTGCCGTGTTGGAGAAGCTAGGCATTACGAGGAGCTATCAGGAGCACGTTTGCTAACAGCTCGGCATGAGCAGGATTTTCCTGACCGACGGGCAAGATGGGCTGCTCAGCTCCTGCTGGCAGATTTTTATGCAGCGTAGTTTTACAGTTTCAGCCTACAACTCTGATACGTTCCAATGTATTTTAAACATTTATTCAGTTGCAACTCTAATCCCAGGAACCTGTGGCTAACAGAAGGCAGATTTAAATGACTAGCAGCTGTGAGATTTTCCAAGTCTAAACTTAAATGAACATGAAAAACAGTTGGACTACCCCGAAAGCTGAATTATGAAACCTCACTTGGTTACCTAATGCCTCTGTGCCTCAGTTCCCCAGCTAAAAAATGGAAAAGGCAACAATACCAACCTTATAGATTACGTTTTGGATTAAATGAGGCAATACATACACAGCACTTAGAACGTGCAAGGCACAATGGAGGCATGCAGTGAACATGAGTTATGATGATGCTGACTGTCATAACTCTCATTCATAGGGATGCTCCCTCTGCTTGTCACCCTTGACCTATATGTTTTCAGGCAGTCCTCGCCCAGTCCCCATTTGTGTGTTCTAGATAGAAAAGGCCCCATACTATGAACTGACCACTGTACGTCTGCATGAAGCCTGGTGAACCTGATAATGTAAACTTCAAGTTCCCTTACTGAGCCTTGAGCTGCCTTCAAAGTATCCAAGCCAACCCTGTCTTGGAAAACACACCTAGATGATGCCCTGGACCCCAATAAAAGCTCCAGCCCACAGGTCCCTCCCTCCCTCTTGGTCCCCACCCTTTGGCTGGGCATGTGTGTCTTGAATGTCTCTGGGCCCTTCCAGTAAGCCCTGCAAGGTGTGCTGGTCATCGTTCTCTGGAATCTGCGAGTAATAAATCTTTTTGCCATTCTGCTCTGAGTGCCCCTCACCATGCTGCATCTGACTACACAAAACCTAATTTAAATACCTCACTTAACAAACCACAACACCAACCAAAAGCTGAACCTTTTAAAGATTCACATTATTCTACTAGAAACAAAAGTCCCTTTGAGGTTTGAATTTCTGCTGAATAATATACAATCACATGTTCTTTAACCTGCTACCAAACTTTAAGGACATTTTTAACTGAATTGTGTAAAGATAGGTCAAAAAGGTTTTGTAAGTGATATCCCGATTTGAGTAAAGATCAACTGCAGAGGTAGTGGAATCAGTCAACTGCAGAGCTACACTCTCGATGGTAAACTCATGATGGAGAAATCTCCTAAGCTGGGGACTGAAAGGCCCCCTGCAGTGTAAACCACGAGGTAATACTTGCAGGAAACAGCCAAGAACTGCTTAATGTCCTTGAGCAAAAGACACACTAATATGGCTACCTGAGCAAGCTAGTCTAAAACAAATGCTGGTCAGCTCTCAGCAATAATTTTGCAAGTTGAAGCATCTTGGCATAAAAGAAGAGGAACTTATTTGCTTGCCAAGAAGAATCAACCCTAGTTTCCCAGGTTGATCCTGTTTATGCATTAGTGATCTGCTTTTGTATCAGTGGTTTGTTGAATGCCTTCAATTTAATCATGTAGGGGGACCCAACTTTAGCAACATACATACATCCTCCTAAGACATTTTCTGGTTTTTTTTGGACAGCTCTTTATGTTCAGAATCAATGACTTTTGTTTTAAAAATGTCTTTTACTGTAAATAACAGCAATAACAATAGCTGAAAGCACTTACAACACTTCAGACACTATTCTATATACTTATATATTAGCTTATTTAATCCTCACAATGATCCTAATAGTCAGTACTATTACTATTCCCATTTTACAGATGAGGAAATACTGAGCTGTAACATGCCCAGGATCACAGTCAGTCAACTGTAGAGCTGGGTTTTGAACCCAGGAGTCTGACTCCACAGTCTATGCTCTTAACCTCCACTTCAAGTGTCAGCAAAGTGTTTCTGTAAAGAGCCAGAAAGTAAATATTTTAGGCTTTGTGGGCCACATGGCCTCGGCCACAACTCTTCGATTTTGCCACTGTAGCACAAAAGCAATCACAGATAATATATAAACAAACAAGTATGTTGTGCTACAATGAAATTTTTTTTATGGACACCAAAATGTGACTTTCATTTAATTTTCACGTATTCTTCTTTTGATTTTTTTCAACCACTGAAAAATGTAAAACTCATTTGTAGCTTGTGGGCCACACAAAAGGAGGTGGTGGTGGGCTGGATTTGGCCCATAGGCTATAACTTGCCCAGTTCTGTCCTAAATTACACACTTTTTTTTTAAAGTACGCCATCTAAGTGTCTTGCCTGTAAATTTCTAAAACCGTCATGATGACATGAGGATGCTGCCAGCTAACACTAGTAAGTCCTTACTGTGTGCCATGTACCTCGTTTCAGGCACTATACACAACTTAATCCTTACAAGAACTGCTTGAGGCAGGTCTAATTATTTTCCTCATTTTATAGATGAAGAAAATGTGGTCATTTGAGTTGCCTGAAGGTTACGCAGTGATTAGATGCTAGAGCTAGCATGTGAATCTAGTCCATGACCTTTGACCACTTTGCCATTCTACTTCTATTAAAACTTTCCACTCTGATAATAGCAGTAATACTTAGTATCCATTCACCCTGACAGTGAAACAAGTTCCAGTAGAAACACGTTTTCAGATAAAAATAAAAAGAACTCTCCCTAACTGATGTCTCCATCAACCTACTTAATTTAGATGGAGACAAAACATTGTCAAATGTGCAGGTCCTGTTCTTATTCCTGTTGCTGCAACATAAATATGCAGACTTCAAAACGGGTTTCACATTTTTACACTATACCACAGAGAAAACATTATACAGGCACAGAATCTACTCCTGATATAGGCATCTGATGTAAGTTAACTCATCTTAATACACATATGAACTGAGTATGGTGGCACATGCCTGTAGGTCCAGCTACTCAGAAGGCTGAGGCAGGAGAATTCCTTGACCCCAGGAGTTTGAGGCTGTAGCACACTACAATTGTGCTGAAAATAGCCAATATACTCCAGTTGGGACAAAACAGTGAGACTCCCATCCCTTAAAAAAATTATATATACATATACATATATAAAGGTATATATACATATACATATATATGTAATATATTATATATAATATATGTATGTATATTATATGTATGTAATATATATTATATATGTATAATATATGTATATGTGTGTATGCATGTGTTTATATATAAAATATATATATGTAAACATTACATATATTCTATTATATATACATATATTACATAATATATACATATATACATATAATATATAAACACACACACAGACACACACGAAGATAGAGACATTAAAAGAATACAAACCAACAAAAAATAAAAGCAACTTTATACTTACAGAAAAATATTTCTGTTGAAATTTCATAGAAAAGAATGAACAGGAAGTACTTTATAGAAAAAATACACTAAAAAGATTTGTTTCAATTCAATTCAGTTAACTTTTGAAACATATGAATAAACATTTATTTGGTAATAACTATTTTTCCTGATGAAGTGTACATTTTTTCAAAGCATGCATTTTTCAAAGCATGAATTATAGCTTTTGAGGCACCACTGCTGTTCTATCCAAAATAATAATTTTAGAAGTATTCTGATTTCACATAAGCTTAGGAAACCTTAATCCATGAGGAAAGAAAAACTTCTAGGAATGTGTTCACACAAAATAATCAGGGGCTGGGCATAGTGGCTCACACCTACGATTCCAGCTCCTTGGGAGGCCAAGATGGGAGGATTGCTTGAGGCCCAGAGTTTGAGGCTGCAATTAGCTATGACTGTGCCACTGTACTCCAGCCTGGGTGACAGAGTGAGACCCTGTCTCTAAAAGCAAAAAACAAAACAGAAAAACAAAATCAGGGAAGAAGCACATTTTCAGGTATAAAAATGACTATTCTAACACTACACTAAATATCAAAACACTGGCCACAAGAGAACTTTAAGACTATATTCAAACATTCATCCACCAAATATTTTCTGTATCAAACATTGTGGCAAAACTGCCCCAGATCCTTGCCTATGAAGCGTGACATAAGGTGACATGTTTGAACAGACCCTTCTGGCTGCTCATAGGGAAGGGGCTGTGGGGAGCATGAGCAGAAGCAGGAGGTCACAGAAGCACAGTCAAGAAGCCAACAGTAAGAGATAGGAGGACTTGGACCTGCTGGTGGTGACAGATGTGATGAAAACTGCCAGATTTTGCACATAATTTGCAAATAGAACTGACAGGATTTGCAACAGGACCAAATATGGAAGGAGAAGGAAAGAAATGAGACAATAATGACAAGGCTTTTGGACTGAGTAACTGAGAGGATGAAACGGCCACTGACTAGGACTCAAGCTGTGGGAGGAGCTGGTTTATGGGAGACTCTCAGGACTTCGGGTCTGGACAGGCTGGCTTGAGTTACCTATTAGACACCCAGGCAAAGGAGTGGAGCAGGATACACAGGCCCGCAGCTCAGAGGAGAGGTTTGGGCTCACAATGTGAATTTGGGAGGAAGCACCATGTGAGTAGGTTTTACAGACAAGGAACAGGCTAATATCCCCAGGAGACAGCACACAGACAACAAAGAAAGGGCCAAGAGCAGAGTGCTGAGGCACACTCTGTTCCAGGTCAGGGAGGTGAGTCAGAACTGTGGCAAAAACTGAGAAGTCAGGAAGATGAAAGTCAGATGAGTGTGGGATCCTAGTAGCCAAGGGAAAAAGGGAGCCTATTAAAGGACAGGGATGAACTATTTGAGGGATTGGCAGCCACCTGTTTTTGTAAATAAAGTTTTATTGGAACACAGCCCATCCATTCATTCTTTGGCTACTTTAGCTCTATAAGAGCAGAAAGGAGTAGGCACAGCAGAGACTTTGAAAGCCTAACATATTTTCTGCTGTGCCCTCATCCAGCACAAGTTTGCCAACCTCTGAGCTATTTCAAATCCCAATGATGGTCAAAAAAGACTAAGAATTGAGCACTGCATCTGGTAATGTGAAGATCACAGTAACCTGCTTAAGAGCAGTTTGGGCAGGTCAACCGGAAGCTGATTCATCTGCACATATATTTTTTGAGGCCCCAGTAGAAGTGAAATGGTTCATCTATTAATGAGCTAGCTATGATATTTATGGGACACAGCCAACAGAAACAAACACCTATTTATTGGCATTTTTTAAAGCCACAAAGTCAAGTGGGAAAAAGAAAGCCTTTCATATTGCACCTCCTCTCCCTAAAATGTTGTCTTTACTGTGCCTCCCAAACATCTTCTCTCCCTTCAAGGTAAGGCTCAAAAATCACCTCCTTGGTAAATATGCCTACCCTTCCGCTACAAGAGGCTGGAAGCCAGGAGCGCCTTGTAGTCCTCGCTCATAATTCTTGGCCCAAGGATGATCACATTCTAGAATCTTGCTTGTTTCCTTGACATTGGGTCAACAGGCTGTGAGCTCCAGAGCAGGGAATGAGGCTTAGCTATTGGTTTGTCCAGTGGCTGGCACAAAGTGGTCACCGAACAAACCACGTATAGCAGAAGGGTCTGCCGTGTTCCTCAAGGAGCACACTTCCTTCATCAGAGTGCCTCTGAGAAAAGCGGTACAAGGGAGAGACTGACTCATTTCATCAATCAAGAACGAAGGCTGACTGGAATGAAGAAGAAGCAGGCATGGAGGCCCTGGGCAGCTTAAACTTTTCCCTGTAGCCCATCACTTCACTAGAATGTTGAGAAATAGAAACCCAAACACGTCTCTTAAACTGAAAACTTTCAAGAAAATAAACAACATTAAGTCCCGAAAAGCAAGACTGCATTTCAGAGACGAGAGATGAAATGCCAACTCACCTGGGGCATGGCTTTAGGTTCAATTCCTGTCCCCGCAGCCTCCAGCTTCTGGTTTCTCTCCTTGGGAAGAGCAGTGTCCCTGGAAGGCAGAGCTGGAAGAGAAGGGAGTAGCTAGAGACCAGGTCTACACAGTACCAAATCACCAGCCTAGAAACGTCCCTTCCTGCATGAGCAGGTGGGATCAGGTCATTACCCTGCCTAGGAACTGCCACAACGTAGAGATAGTTTTTTTTTTTTTTTTTTTTTTTTTCTCCCTGGGAGCACGAAAACAGGAAAAGTGTCTAGTTAGAGTCACCCTGGGAAAGTCAACACCCTTTTACCGCGGCTTGGCGCTCTGAATCAGTTGAGCTTCCAAATCTTCAGATTCCCCCGCTCCACCAGCTTCAAAGACCAGGGGCACAGTTCTCTAGCAACTGGTCCCCGAGAGCCCAACCCCCTCCCAGATCTCATCCCGAGATGAATTCGTCCCTGTGCGCCCGGCCCCAAACACCTGTCACTCTCACCTCTGTGCCCAGGCCCCGTAGTGGCCGCTCCTCGCTGGCCTTTGGTTGCGAGGCCATTCCTTGAGCGCGGCCTTCCCCGGGCAGGGAGGGCCAAGGTGGCTGGAGTCCCTGTCGTCGGGCCTCGGCCCGCCCGGGGCTTTGTGCGGGGGGCGCCTCTACCCCGAAGCGGCGTCGGCTCGCGAGCACCCGCGCTCGCCGCCCCCCGCATGTCACCCGAGGCCGCGCGACGCCCTCCCGGCCGGTCCCTCACAGACCCACACCCATGGCCACACCCGCCCGCCACGCCCAGCGCACAGCCCCGCGCGCGCTCCCCGAAGCCCTGGCATCCACGGGGCCGCGCCGCGGAGCCGCCCCGCCCCCGGCCGCGCCCCGCCCCTCCCCACCCCTCCCTATCCCTACCCGCCGCCCCGCCCCTCCCCGCAGCCAAGCGCAGCCCGGCCCGATCCGCTCCCAGTGCGCAGCCAGCGCCGCCGGAAGTAGGCGGGACCTCCGCGCAACGCCCGCTGGGAAGCGTAGTCCCAAGCAGGGACAGAAGCGTTGGTCCTCGGAGCTCATGTTGCAAGATACGGTTTGGCCCCGGGCCTACTTAACGCCCGTCGGTCCTGCCCTCTGCGGGTCGCTCCCACTTGTCCCTGGACCGCAGCGCCGCATAAGTGGTTGGTCGCCAACGCCGGGCCTCGGTGTGACCGGAAGCAGAGGCCGCCCTGACTACACACCCACGCCCCAAAGGCTTTTGGGAGTCGCGTAGGCGCAGCGGCAGGCCGGGTGAGGAGGGGCTTGTGGAGAAAAAGGGTGCTTGGCTGTGACAGGTGTGGGTCCTGGGTGTCAACTCCTTGCAGGAGCGTCACTGCCGACGGGGAAGGGAAAGGCAATCCTGGGTGCCTCTGGAGTCCAGAGGATGACTCTGATGGGGCATGTGTGTGGGCTAGAAGAGATGTAGAGAGCTTGTGGGATTGGTTTTGGTGCGCCCTCACCACCTCCCGTTCTCTCTGGCTACACGGGCCTCCCATCCTCCAAAATACCATTTTCCATTTTGTAACCTATGTATTTGCACGTCCTGGGTCGGAATAGTCTAACCCCAAATTTTCGTCAGGGCTGGCTCCTTTATGCCATTCACTTGTCATCGCCTCAGAGCGGGCTGCCTAACATTTCAAAAATACCAGCCCTGGCGACCTCTTGAAGTTCCCTTCTTGTGTGAATCACGATCTGAAGTTAGCTGACGGATTTATTCTTGTACATGTTTGGGACCGGTCTCTCCCCCAGGGGCCTTGTCAGAGCTGGAGAGCTTCATCCTGGGAGCCAAGGGCCTTGTTGGCTCACAGGCAGTGTTGCTGTTACCAGTCATCACAGGTGCACTGACCCCTGCATGCCCAGTCACACTGGACGCCTGGTCTCCTTACTGTTGAATTGATTTCCGTCAGGTTTCCTGGCCTCAGTGATAGAATTAAGATGACTTCTATCTCTGAATCCAAGGGTGACTGAAAGCCACAAGCAGCAGAAAGGACAAGCCCAACATTTCTCTTCAAACCACTTCAGTCTCATGGAAAAGGCTTAGTTTCAGAGTCAGGTGGACCTAGCCATGTAATAGCTGTGGCAGACACTGCTAGTGGTCTCTCCAGTGTCTATTTTGCACTCCTTCTGCAGCAGAACACTGATGCTCTTCAAATGACCATCTGCCTGGCTTATAATGCTCACCTCCCCAGTCTCCTTGTAAGGAGTAGTGGCTCTGTAACCAGTGAAATTTAAGTACAGATTTGCTGGGGGTTTGGTGGGTTTGTGGAGAGAGACACAGCTGGCATGTAACTCTGGCCTGTTGTCATCTCACACAACCTTCTTCCTGCTTGGGTATGACACAGGATGTCAACAGGTAGAACAGCTGTAGAGACCTGGCAAAGGGATTGTGACTAACTCAACATTCCACTGGAGGCTATATGATCAAACAGCAAATTGTTTGTCATGAATGCAGAATGTGGGCAAACTTGCTTCTGTGCCTGCCACCAGAAGGTTTGCTGAAGGCAATCACTTCCTGGCGCCATGCTCCTTGAGGTTATCTAATGGGACATCTAGAGCCTATTGTTTGAAGAATGCAGTCTTGCAAGCCTGCTGTAAATCAAGCTACCGACCGACAACCACCCCCGCTTCTCCCTATTCACTCTACCTAATAAATATGAAGGGCTGTAAAAGCTCAGGGCCCTTGTTCACTAGAAGCAAGGAGCCCCCATATCCCTTCTTCCAAATATACTCTTTTGTCTTTGTCTTTATTCCTATATTTGTCATCCCAGTCCAACAGGGATAGGGTCCGCCACAAACAGCCACCTTGACATCATGAGGATGACAGTTATGCTAAAGATGGCTTAGCAGGAAAAAAAAGAGAAATAAAGAACCAAATAAATAGTATTAGAAATGAAAAAGTGAACATAATCACAGAAATTTTTAGAATTTTACAAATACTATGATTGCCTTATCTCAATATATTTAAAACATGCAGGGGTTTACCAGAGAGAAAATTATAAGTACCAAAACTGACTCAAGAAGAAATGGAAAATCATTAAATAAATTCTGAGGCTTTTCTTTGAATACCAAAGCAATAGATAATCCCTGTCGTATAAAACTACACTGGAGAATTTAAAAACTAGACACCCTTGATACCAAAACTGGACAAGGACAGTAGGGAAAGAATTTAAATAGGGAAAGAATTGCCAATCTTCAATGACAACATACACATTAAAATCCTACCTAAAGTGACAATAAACATAGTCCAGCAATACCTAGAAAAATATGTCATATCCAAGGAAGATATGTCAGAATACTTTCATGTTCTGGAACATAGAGGCATCACCTATGTGGATAAAGACAGCATCCTGAGTTGATGAGAAATGGCATAGAAGGAACCAGGTCCTTTGATGACATCATGGAGCACAGCTGTCTTCTTGCTATGACCTGCCACCTACCTGCATGGGAAGCTGTTACTTGAGAAGGCAATAAAATCTATCTTCTTTATTGACAGAGTTGACAATATTTTTATTGTAGCAGTCACTTATTCTCATATGACTGCTATATGCTATTTTCCTATTATATGGAGCTATATGTGTCCTTGTTCATATTTAGCAGAGAAGCAACAGAAACACACTAAAGAATTACGAAGAAAAAATTCTCGATATATCCAAATTTTTAGAGAGCTACAAGAATCATTTCATTATTAAGTTCTGATGCAGCAGGAAGATGACAAAATTTCTCACCTTAACCACCAGGAGTTACACTGTGCTTTTTTATAAACCCAAAACTATAACTTTTTGAAAAACAAAAAACAACAAGAAAGATGAATAATCTCCCTGCTGAATCATTTAGATTAAGCTGATACAACTTATGAACTACTGCCTATCTTCACATTTGCCATATTTATAAATTCTTTTATTAATTTTTTAAAAATCCAGTATAAAGAATAATATGAACTCACAATAGGCAAAAAGAATATTTATAGCACAAAGAAAGGATGTCATATGCTTAAGTGTCAGATATTTAACAAACAGAATGTACAACATAATGACACTTGATTTGGGAAATAATACTTAGTCCAATGAATTTAGTTATCCAGGGAATCTACTGATTAAAAATATGAATTTTCTATAAGATCATAATTTATGATTTTATATTTTTCTCTGGAGAGGCATTTTATGTTGTATGTCCATAGGGCCTTACCACATCATAGGACATAAGTCTTTCCTTAGTCACTCAGGAAAAGCCTTGTGATATCTTGCTAAGACAAAGTGGCAGTCTACTCCTGTCACTGGGAATTCGGTCAGCTTTCGATGAATCATCTGAGGGTGGAAGAGATACCTGAGCACAAGTTGAGTTTTGTTAGAAAAGACAAAAAGGAGACTGGATGCCAAGCAGGTGACCGACAGTTTATACTGCCAAGAATTTATCACAGGAGTACCAGGTGGGGAGCCTGTTAATGTCATTCACCACTATTAATAAATAAGGATGAAACAGTTTCTTGAATCATCTCAATAGATGATTGAGATAAAATGCAGCTCACATCTGTGATTTTAAAAAGAAAAAGGCTTAGCAAACTAGGCATGGTGGAGAGCTTCCTTACTTGATAAGAAGATGGAATAAAATTATTATAAACCCCAAATTCTTTCATTCAGCTTTGGTTAAAATGGTCTGTCAACATCAGACTGGAAAGAAAAGGTTTCCATAAGTAGTTCTGAAAATGGAAAGCAGTGGCATAGACTTTGTCTTTTATCGTAAAGAATATTTACTCATAACTTACTATTAATTGGAAAATGGAAGACAAAGCCTCAGACCAAGAGGTGAAATCTCACTTAGGTTAGATTTTATGAGCCTACTTTAAAAGCAATAAAGTGATAAATTGGCCTTCATCAAACTGAGATACACAGCATGTGAAATAAAACATTCACTGGGCTTAAAAGCAGAATGGAAACAAAAGAAGTAAGACTAAGTGAACTTGAAGAGAGATTGATGGCAATTATCCAGTCTGAAGCACAGAGGAAAAAAGTTGGGGGGAAAAACACTGCTTCAGAGCAATGAACAGGCAGTAACTAAAATTAAAAATACAATACCATTTCCGATTACGAATTTTAGCTCCAGATCAACTGCAAGAACAAACCAGAAATCCCAAGAGTACCCACAGACCCTGTGAAGGAAGGGGGAGACACCCCAAATACTGTGAGTGCCCCAACTTCGGAAATGGGAAAGGGAGATCCTCCTCTCCCAAACATACCCCACCCCAGCTGGAGAAACTGAAGGTCTGTTTGTGGGAGAAGTTGCTGACATTTCCTGAAGCTGAGTCAATTTAGAGAGCTGAGCAAAATACAGGGGTAGAGGAAGCAGTTGGAAAGACCCTGGGAGCTCACTGGGCCCTAGGCAGGCCATTCCTCCCTGACACCACAGGGATCCATTGGGAAGGCACCCGGGGAGAGGGGGAAAACACCAAAGGGAGAAGGAAATCTCCAGCTGCACTTTATAGCACTTTGAACTGGGTAAGAAGCCTCCTGGTCAGAACTTGGGGAAGGGCATGGATCAGGTGTGCAGACTCGCCAGGTGGGGAAAGAACCAAGCCCTTTTCTTTTGCAGTTGGGAGGCGGGTAGCCTGGTGCATCCACTGGCTGGAAACAGACTCAGGTCTGTTGGGGGGTCACAGTGGGAGTGAGACCAGCTCTTTGGTTCATGTGGGAGCTGGGTGAGGCCTGTGACTGCCAGCTTTCCCCCACTTCCCTGACAACCAGTATGACTCAGCAGAGGCAGCCATAATGCTCCTAGGTACACAACTCCATTCATCTGGGAATCTCACCCCCATCCGCCACAGCAGCCCTAGCAAGACCTGCCCAAGGAGAGTGTGAGCTCAGACATACCTAGCCCTGCCCCAACCTGATGTTCCTTCCCTACCCACCCTGGTAGCTGAAGACAAAGGGCTTATAATCTTGGGAGTTCTAGGCCCCCACCCACCAATGGTTCCTCTCCAAATGCCACAGCTGATGCTCTTTGGAAAGTGCCACCTCCCAGCAGGAGGCCAACCAGCACAAAAAAAGAGCATTAAACCACCAAAGCTAAGAACCATCACAGAGTTCATTCCACCCCACTGCCACCTCCACCAGAACAGGTGTTGGTATCAACAGCTGAGCGACCCATAGGTGGTTCACATCTCAGGACTCTGTGCAGACAAACACCAGTACCAGCCCAGAGCCAGGGAGACTTGCTGGGTGGCCATATATATATGAAGGAAAGATACAGTCTTTTGCAGACAAACAAATGCTGAGAGAATTCACCACTACCAAGCCACCCACTAAAAGAACTGCTGAAAGGAGCTCTAAATCCTGAAACAAATCCTGGAAACATATCAAAACAGAACCTCTTTAAAGCATAAATCACACAGGACCTATAATACAAAAAATAAAAATAAAATAAAAAGCAAAAATAAAGAAACCAAGGTACACAGGCAACAAAGAGCATGATGAATGCAACAGTACCTCACATCTCAATACTAACATTGAATGTAAATGGCTTAAATGATCTACTTAAAAGACACAGAACTATGGAAAGGGTAAGAACTCACTAACCAGGTATTTGCTGCCTTCATGAGACTCACCTAACCCATAAGGACTTCACATAAACTTAAAGTAAAGGGGTGGAAAAAGGCATTTCATGTGAATTGACACCAAAAAGAAGCAGGGGTAGCTATTCTTACATCAAACAAACCAAACTTTAAAGCAACAGCAGTTAAAAGAGACAGAGGGACATTATATAATGGTAAAAGGCCTTCTTCAACAGGAAAATATCACAATCCTAAACATATATGACCTAACACTGGAGCTCCCAAATTTGCAAAACAATTACTAATAGACCTAAGAAATGAGATAGAGATCAACACAATAATAGTGGGGGACTTCAATACTCCATTGACAGCACTAGACAGGTCATCAAGACACAAAGTCAACAAAGAGGTCTGGCACAGTGGCTCATACCTGTAATCCCAGCACTTGAGAAGGCCGTGGCGGGTAGATCACCTGAGGTGAGGAGTTCAAGACCAGCCTGGCCAACATGGTGAAACCTTGTCTCTACTAAAAACACGAAACTTAGCTGGGTGTGGTGGCAGGCACCTGTAATCCCAGCTACTCGGGAGGGTGAAGCAGAAGAATCACTTGAACCTGGGAGGCAGAGGTTGCAGTGAGCTGAGATCATGCCATTGTACTCCAGCTGGGGTGACAAGGGTGAAACTCCGTCTCAAATTTTTTAAAAAATAAAGTCGACAAAGAAACAATGGAATTGAGCTATACCTTGGAAAAAATGGACTTAACAGATATATACAGAACATTTCATCCAACAACCACAGAATACACATTCTATTCAACAGCGCATGGGACTTTCTCCAAGATAGACCATATTATAGGCCAGAAAATGAGCCTCAATACATTTAAGAGATAAGAAACCACTTGCCTAAAACAGTCCTTCTTTGAAATGTGCCTAGCATCCTATGGGTGGTGAGTAAAGCACTCCCTAGAGGTAAAATGCTGCTCTTGAGCACAGGTTCAGGAAAAGCTTTTCAGTCATTTTGAGCCAAGGTTTTTCCCAGCAGGCTTAAACCCAACCAAAGGCCTTAAAACATCCCCAGGCACTAATAAAGATATTTAAGCAACTTCTAGCCTAGATGTATGAGCTGGGCTTGTGCAAGAATCACCACCCATAATTCTTCTGAATGACTGCAACAGAAGTCTACCTTCCTTAGAGCTCTCCCAGAAATACTGGTTATATTCCTTTCTTCAGTATGTGCATACCTTAGTCACAGTTCTTTTGGGGCTACTCTGCCAATTCAGCAGGACAAAACATGTTTACAACCTGGCAGAAGCATGAATCGGGTCAGGTCTAAGGAGCAGAGTAGCAGAAACTCATATACTATCTTTAAATCATGGCCAAAGGATAACTCATATTCAACTTCACCCATGTCTCAAGGAGTATCTAATTTGATTTAAATGAACTGTGTACAGGCGGGATGCGGTGGTTTATGCCTGTAATCCCAGCACTTTGGGAGGCCAAGGTGGGCAGATCATGAGTCAAGAGATCGAGACTATCCTGTAGTCCTAGCTACTCGGGAGGCTGAGACAGGAGAATCACTTGAACCCAGGAGGTGGAGGTTGCAGTGAGCTGAGATCGCACCACTGCATTCCAGCCTGACGACAGAGCAAGACTCCATCTCAAAAAATAAAAATAAAACATGAACCATGCACAACCAGCAACACACAAAAAAACCTCATGGAATAACATGAGAGCAGTTCACCCCGCCCACTACCAAAAACAAAACAAAAACAGGGAAGGAGTTCTTGTATTTGTGTATGCATGGTTTCTATTTGTATTGTAAACAAAAACTACAAATAACAGATACTATGAATGCATTTTTTAAGCTTTATGAAGTTTATGTAGTTAATAACGATGTCTTCGTGTTAGTTATGAAATTACATTTGTTCATAAACTGCAAGACAACTTTGAGTACACAGAGATCCATCTCATTTTCTGTAACTACATACTGATCTACTAAACTGATTTTCTGTAACGTAAGTAACCCATAACTTTACTAGTTCTAAACATTTTCTTCCAAATTTTTCACAATTCTACAATGTATTTGCTTATGCATATATATTTCTGCACTTGTGCTTTTTGAGAACATAAATGACTAGGTGTAGAATTGTGGCAAAGGGTAATTATATCCAAAATGCTGACAGGTAACACCACATTGACCTCTAAAATGGCTTTCCTCTAATTTACCCTGTCAATATATGAAAATATGGTCTCTCGTACATCTGTAACAATACTGGATATTATCCAAACTTTACATTCACATAAAATTTCTGCTGGTTTGTGTTGGTGGTGATGAGGACTTTTACAGTTTGCATTTATCTGATCATTAGTTAGGTTGAGAACTTCTATTTTTTTTTTTTTTTTTGAGACGGAGTCTTGCTCTGTCGCCCGGGCTGGAGTGCAGTGGCCGGATCTCAGCTCACTGCAAGCTCCGCCTCCCGGGTTTACGCCATTCTCCTGCCTCAGCCTCCCGAGTAGCTGGGACTACAGGCGCCCGCCACCTCGCCCGGCTAGTTTTTTGTGTTTTTAGTAGAGACGGGGTTTCACCGTGTTAGCCAGGATGGTCTCGATCTCCTGACCTCGTGATCCGCCCGTCTCGGCCTCCCAAAGTGCTGGGATTACAGGCTTGAGCCACCGCGCCCGGCCTAACTTCTTCTATTTAACCATTTTAATTTCTTCATCCAATAAATTTTGTTGACGTGCTCTGCAAGACTGTGTACCTTATCCTTGTTGCTTTCCAACAGCCCTTTTTCAAGGGCTATATCCTTTCTAATGTATGTTTAAGATATCTCTCAGCCTGTCATATGCCTTTTAACTTTGCATACAGTATCTTATGCCATGAAAAAGGTTTAAATCTTCTACATAGTCCTGTCATTCTCCGTGGCTTCTGGACCATGTCCTGCTTCCCAAAGACTTCCTGAACCTAAAGGCACAGAAATACTCTACATTCTCCTCTACCATCGTAACAGTATTTATCTGTAACCAGTATAGAATGAACTTCTGTGTAAGTAATAAAATGGGATGCTGACTTTATTTCCAGTTGGATAACTGTCAAAGACATTTAATCTCCCCCAATGATACATCGAAAACACTTCTGCAATATAAAAAACCCATGGGATATGACCTTCTACAAAATCTCCCTTCTGATAGCTCCCTAATTAACACTCAACATGAATTTCAGAACTGTCAATGTAAAAGTAACCTACTGGATTACAATATTGAAATATTCATCTAGGATCATGTTATGGATCTCCATTTATTCAGAGCCTCTGTTCTCCATCAGTAGAGGCTAATAATTTCCTTTTGTATATAACTAAGTAAACTCACCTATACTTTCATTTTTTTCCCCTTGGTTTGATATCAGAGTTGACTTAACCTCATGAAAGAAGTGGAACATTTTAAGTGTGTGTGTGTTTTTTTAAAATACACTCCAGAACAACTTTACTAGTGGATCCTTGAAAGGTTAGACTAAATCTGTGAACCCACATGTTGAAATACAACTATATTACTCAATTTCTCTTTCTTCAGTTAAACATTAATTTTTTGTTTTGTTTTGTTTTTGCTTGACTAAATACAGTCTTTTATATATTCTCCCCAGGAATTCTAATTCTTTTGTTCATTTTATCCAGAGCTATATAGCCACTTCTTAAAACATGTTCTGTGCATCAAATCATAATTAATTTCCTCACTAACAAGGGAACACAGCCTTAATCATGAGAGAGCCACTGTGATGTTTTATTATAATATTAAATGTTAAGCGTACTACATGTGCTAATCACCATCTACCTTAAGATACTGTTTTAAGTCAGGCTGGTTGCCTATAATTCCAGCCACTTGAGAATGAGGTGGGAGGATCACTTGCGCACAGGAGTTTGAGATCACCCTGGGCAACATAGCAAGACCCCATTTAAAACTTTTTTTAGTTTAAAAAAAGATACTGTTTTGGTTCCAAAATTTTTACGATTGCCAAACTGCTTTCAAGAATACACTGTTTAAAAATAACTTACATCAACTCTGAAGAATACTTATCTAACATTTACCAAGCACTTAGTATGAGCTGATCATTTTGCTAAGCACCCTATGTACATCAAGTATTTTAACTAGAGTTTTAAGAGAGTAATTTAATTTGCATTTTTCAAGGGTCACTGTGGCTGTAATGTTAACTCGAGAGGGACAAAAGAGGATGAAGTCTTAGAATTCACGGGTATCCAACCCATTGAATGTGAGGACTTTTATGCTTATTTGAGGTGGTGTATCACTAAAATTATGCATAGACTTTTTTTTTCTTAGCTCATCAGCTATTGTTAATGTTACTGTATTGTATGTGTGGCACAAGACAATTTTTCTTCTTCCAATGTGGCTCAGGGAAGACAAAAGGTTGGACACCTGTGTAATGACTGAAATAGTCAAGGTGAAATGACTGTGTTTTGAACTGGGGAACGAAAAGAAGTGGATAAATTCCAAAAGTGTTCAGCAGATATATCCACAGGACTTGGTGATGTAGTGGGTGAGGGAGAGCTGGATGCCTGAAATGAACTCACTGATGAGCAAGGTGTGCATTTCATCTGAAGACATTTGCACATTCTTTACATTGTTAAGACCTCTTTGCAGTATGAATTCTTCCATGTAAAGCATTCAATCTGGCTGAAGGTTTTTCTTGTGTGTGCTTCACGAAGTTCTCATGATGTGTTTTTCAGTTCCATCAGGTCATATGTTCTTCTCTAAACTGGTTATTCTAGTTAGCAATTCCTCTAACCTTTTTTCAAGGTTCTTAGCTTCCTTGCATTGGATTAGAACATGCTTCTTTAACTCACAGGAGTTTGTTATTACCCACCTTCTGAAGCCTACTTCTGTCAATTTGTCAAACTCATTATCTATCCAGTTTTGTTCCCTTGCTGGCGAGGAATTGTGATCCTTTGGAGAAGAAGAGGCATTCTGGTTTTTGGAATTTTCAGCCTTTTTGCACTGGTTTCTCCCCATCTTTGTGCATTTATCTACCTTTGGTCTTTGATGCTGGTAACCTTCAGATGGGGTTTCTGTGTGGATGTCCTTTTGTTGATGTTGATGATATTCCTTTCTGTTAGTTTTCCTTCTAACAGTCAGGCCCCTCTGCTGCAGGTCTGCTGGAGTTTGCTGGAGGTCCACTCGAGACCCTGTTTGCCTGGGTATCACCAGTGGAGGCTGCAGAACAGCAAAGATTGCTGCCTGTTCCTTCCTCTGGAAGCTTTGTCCCACAGGGGCACCCACCAGATGCAAACTGGACCTCTCTTGTATGAGGTGTCTGTGGACCCCTCCTGGGAGGTGTCTTCCCATCAGGAGGCATGGGGGTCAGGGACCCACTTGAGGAGGCAGTCTGTCCCTTAGCAGAGCTCGAGCGCTGTGCTGAGAGAACTGCTGCTCTCTTCAGAGCTGGCAGGCAGGAACGTTTAAGTCTGTTGAAGCTGTGCCCACAGCCACCCCTTTCCCCCATGTGCTCTGTCCCAGGGAGATGGGGGTTTTATCTGAACTTTTTTCAGAGATGCCCTGCACAGAGAGGAGGAATCTAGAGAGGCAGTCTGGCTACAGAGGCTTTGCTGAGCTGTGAAGGGCTCTGCCCAGCTAGAACTTCCCCGTGGCTTTGTTTATGCTGTGAGGGGAAAACCACCTATTCAAGCTTCAGTAATGGCAGATGCCCCTTCCCCCACCAAGCTTGAGCATCCCAGATCGACTTCAGACTGCTGTGCTGGCAGCAAGAATTTCAAGCCAGTGGATCTTAGCTTGCTGGGCTCAGTGGGCATGAGCCCACTTAGCTCGATCACTTGGCTCCCCGGCTTCGGCCACCTTAACAAGGGAGTAAGTGGTTCTGTTTCACTGGCGTTCCGGGTGCCACTGGGGTATCAAAGAAAACTCCTGCAGCTAGCTTGGTGTCTACCCAAATGGTCGCCCAGTTTTGTGCTTAAACCCAGGACCTTGGTGGCATAGGCACCCAAGGGAATCTCCTGGTCTATGGGTTGCGAAGACCATGTGAGAAGCTTAGTATCTGCACCAGAGTGCACCATTCCTCATGGCACAGTCCCTCATGGCTTCCCTTGGCTAGGGGAGGGAGATCCCCGACTCCTTGCACTTCCCAGATGAGGTTACGCCCCACCCTGCTTCGGCTCGCCCTCCATGGGCTGCACCCACTGTCTAACCAGTCCCAATGAAATGAGCCGGGTACCTCAGTTGGAAATACAGAAATCACCCACCTTCTGTGTTGCTCTCATTGGGAACTGCAGACCAGAGCTGTTCCTATTCGGCCATCTTGCCAGCCTCTGGCTGAAGGTTTTTCTACATTTCTTACGTTTATGTTTTTCAACCAGTGGGACATCTCTGATTAACAGTAAAGGATTGACGATAACTAAAGGCTTGGCCACATGCACTACATTCTTAAGGTTCTTCTCCAGTATGACCTCTTTGATGATAAATTAAGGATAACTTTCTTCTGAATGCCTTCCCACATTCAAAACACTGATAGGGCCTTTGGCCAGTGTGGAGTCTTTGATGTTGAGCACAGGATGAGCTATCACTAAAAGCCTTTCCACATTCAGTACATTTATAGGGTTTCTCTCCAGTATGAATTCTTTGATGTTGAGTAAGATTGGAAGTTTGGCTGAAGGCTTTCCCGCATTCATTACACTCATAAGGTTTCTCTCCTGTATGAGTTTTCTGATGTTGGGCAAGGTGTGATCTCTGTTTGAAAGCATTTCCACATTCAATACATTCATAAGGCTTCTCTCCAGTATGAATTCTCTGATGAGTAGCCAGCTGCGAACTGATTCTAAAAGCTTTTCCACATTCTTTACATTCATAGGGTTTTTCACCAGTATGAATTCTCAAATGACTAACAAGGTGTACATTCTGCCTAAAGGCTTTCCCACATTCCTTGCATTCATAAGGTTTCTCTCCAGAATGTACTCTTTGATGCTGAGTGAGTGATGCATGATGGCTAAAATCTTTCCCACATATATCACATTCATAAGGTTTCTCTCCTGTGTGAATTCTCTGATGTACAGTACGGGATGAACCAGAGCTGAAGGTTTTTCCACACACATCACATTTGTAAGGTTTCTCTCCTGTATGAATTCGCCTATGCAGAATAAGTCCTATGTGAACACTGAAAGCTTTCCCACAATCAATGCAATTAAAAGGCTTCTCTCCAGTATGATAACTCCTCCAGTGACGAATAAAAGATGTGTTATACCTAAAAGCCTTCCCACACTCAATACATTCATAGGGTCTTTTCCCAGTGTGACATCTCTGATGGCGAGCAAAAGATGAGCCATCACTGAAGGCTTTGCCACATTCTTTACATTCATAGGGTTTCTCTCCAGTATGAATTCTCTGATGCTGAGCAAGGTGTGCAGGCTGTCTGAAGGCTTTTCTACATTCCTTACATTTATATGGCTTTTCTCCAGTATGAATTCTTTGATGTTGAATAAGGTGTTCACTTTGTTTGAAGGCTTTCCTACATTCTTTACATTCAAAGAGTTTCTCTCCAGTATGTGTTCTGTGATGTTGAGCAAGGTGTTGCCTTTGCTTGAAGGCTTTTCCACATTCCTCACATTCATATGGTTTTTCACCAGTATGAATTCTAAAATGAACAGTAAGGGATGAGCTATGGGTGAAGGTTTTGTCACATTCATTACATTTAAAAAGCTTCTTTCCTACATAGACTTTCTTGTGTTTTATTACCATAGAATTTTTGGAGAAGCTTTTTTTATCTGATGTGTGATTATAAATATTCTCTTCTATGTTTTCCAGATGGATACATTTCCCAAATTTAGTATATTTGAATTCTGTTTCCTTAGTGAGGGTTTCTTTATGAGTGATTGTTTCTTTCTTGCTAAAAATATTGTGACTTCCCATCTGCTTCTCAAAAAGGTCTTCCCATTTCCAGTTTTCTTCAAAAGTGGAACACTCAAGTCCATAGCTTGTAATTCCCTCCATGCATGCATCATCATACATGAACTGCTTCAGAGGTAATTCCTGTGTCTCATATATAGATTCCCAATCTGAAAGATATAAAAAAAGTGAATGTTTCCTTTATCATGGCTACATCAAAGGAGACACTGTGAAAAAGGTAATTTAAAAATATTTAATAAATCTCACAAAACCTGTTATGTACAGGCATGTCAACTGGAAAATATGCAGGGAGACCTGAAGAAAGACAGCTCATGAAGGAACATGGAAAAAGTGATTAAGAAAACTAAATGGGCTAGGTGTAGTGGTTCAGGCCTATAATCCCCAGCACTTTGGGACGCTGAAGTGGACTGCTTCAGCCCAGGAGTTCAAGACCAGCCTGGGCAACATGGCAAAACACCATCTCTGCAAAAAATACAAAAATTAGTCAAGCATGGTGGTACATGCCTGTAGTCCCAATTACTCAGGAGGCTGAGGTCAAAGGATCACTTGAGCCCAGGAAGTTGAGGCTGCAGTGAGTCACGATTGCCCTACTGCACTCCAGCCTAGGCAGAGCGAGACCCTGTCTCAAAACAAAAACAAAAACCTCAATGTAGGATGAAATCCTACAGAAGTAGTCTGCTATGGTAATATTTCATGCCTGTATTGACCTAACAGACTATAAATTAAGCTCTCTTCATCTACTCTCTTCCACTTGTAATTGGTTTTCATATACAGTTATGTTAACTTTGTTTAAATACCAATATCGTATCACTACTGCTGCTGAAAACTCTCTAGAGATCTCCAGTAACCATATACCCTAGGTGAAATTTAGGTGAAATTTTAGGTGAAATTTAGGTGAGATTTAGGTGAAATCCTATGGTTATCTTTTCATAATCAGAAAATGGTGTTCCAATGAAATCATCTACATGTTTTGATAAAGTGAACTTTTCAATTCTGAGTTCCCTGAACTTTCATCTGCATATTAAGAGATTTTTTCCATTCATCTTACTTTCAACAGCCTGGTAAAATTATCACTTCTTAGACCACCTTTTTATTTAAAAAAAAAAAAAAAAAAAAAAGAGAGAGAGAGAGAGAGGGTTTCACTTAGTTGTCCGGGCTGGAATGCAGTGGCATGACCATAGCTCACTAATTCCTGGGCTTAAGCAATTTTCCCACCTTCTTTTGAGTAGCTAGGATTACAGGTGTTAGCCACTGTACCCAGCACCTTAAGCCACTGCTTAACAGGGTTTTACCATTTCCCCTTTTGAAGAAATGAATTTTATAATGATATGTAGGTTGATATCACTATTAATCACATTCTTATTTACTACCACGAGTAACTTTCTTAACTGCTGACCTAGAACATAAGTTTAGAGAAGGAATAAATGTCCTTTAAAAATTATTGCAACATCGGCCAGGCGCAATGGCTCATGCCTATAATCCCAGAACTTTGGGAGGCGGGCATATCACCTGAGGTCAGAAGTTTAAAGACCAGCCTGGCCAATGTAGTGTAACCCCATCTCTAGTAAAATCACAAAATTAGCGGGACATGGTGTCACCTGCCTATAATCCCAGCTACCTGGAAGGCTAAAGCAGGAGAATTGCTTGAACCCAGGAGGCATAGGTTGCAGTGAGCCGAGACTGCGCCATTGCTCTCCAGCCTGGGCAACAAGAATGAAACTCATCTCAAAAAAAAAAAAAAAAAAAAAAGAAAGAAAAAAGAAAAAAATATTGCTACATCACTTACCATAGATAGAAGAAATCTGGGCATATATAAAAAGTTATCAGTAAAATATAAAGAAATTTATAATGAAGAGGTGATACTGAGAGAAAACCTGAGGGAAAAGGTGGTTCAAGAAAAGGCAAAGGAAGTACTTTCCTTTTCTATGTCATCCATAGGAAATCATTGACTAATCCAATATTTCCTAAGCAATTATACATTATGCACTAAGCATTTGTGATATCAAAGTAATGAAGGAATTGTTCTTGAAAAGTTTAGAAAGTAATTAGGAAGACAAGACCAACAAAAAAAAAGTAATTTGAGAAGATAATATAAAACATAATCAAGTGTGAGCCCATGTGATAAAGATTAAATTGTTATAAAAGTTCAGAGATGGCAGAGATCAAATCCACTAGAGCAGTTAAGAAAGGTTTTGAGGTATTAACAAGCTTTGTAGTTCAGGTCTTCATGGTATCAGGAATATCCAGTGTCTTGAATAACTTCGGTTGCTATAACAAAATCATATTGTGTCGCTTAATGATGGGGACATGCTCTGAGAAATGCATCATTACGGATAGGCAATTACAGAGCATACTTACACAAATCTTGATGGTGTAGCATACTGCACACTTCGCCTATATGGCCTACCACTCCTGGTCTACAAGCCTGTGCAACATGTTACCATACTGAATACTACAGGCAATTGAAGCACAATGGTATTTTTGTATCTAAACATATACAAACATAAAGAAGGTAAAGTATGATATGAGGACATTTTATATATATATATTTTGAGACAGGGTCCCCTGTGTCACCAGGCTGGAGTACAATGGTATGATCATGGCTCACTGAATCCTCAAACTCCTGGGCTAAAGTGATCCTCCTGCCTAGCTTCCTGAGTAGCTGGGAGTACCAAGTGCATGCCACCATGTCCAGCTAATTTTTTATTTTTAGTAGAGACAAGGTCTTGCCGTTGCCCAGGCTGGTCTGGAACTCCTGTTGAGGCAATTCTCCCACCTCAGCCTCTCAAAGTACTGCGATTATAGGCATGAGCCACCATGCCAAGCAATAGAAGAGATTTTTTTTTTTTTTTTTGAGATGGAGTCTCCTCACTCTGTTGCCCAGGCTGGAGTGCAGTGGCATGATCTCGGCTCACTGCAAGTTCCACCTCCCAGGTTCATGCCATTCTCCTGCCTCAGCCTCCCGAGTATCTGGGACTACAGGCACCCGCCACCACATCCGGCTAATTTTTTTTTTTTTTTTGAGATGCAGTCTCGCTCTGTAGTCCAGGCTGGAGTGCAGTGGCCAGATCTCAGCTCACTGCAAGCTCCGCTTCCCGGGTTTATGCCATTCTCCTGCCTCAGCCTCCTGAGTAGCTTGGACTACAGGTGCCCGCCACCTCGCCTGGCTAGTTTTTTGTATTTTTTAGTAGAGACGGGGTTTCACCATGTTAGCCAGGATGGTCTTGATCTCCTGACCTCGTGATCTGCCCGTCTCAGCCTCCCAAAGTGCTGGGATTATGGGTGTGAGCCACTGCACCCAGCCAGAAGAGATTTTTTTAAAGTTACACCTGTATAGGGCAGCTCCATCATAATCTTCTATGACTGTCTTAATATGCAGTCCATAATGGATAGATATATTGTTTATGTGGCCCATGACTGTACCATATACTGGGTAGCTTATTGATGTGGTTTGGCTGTGTCCCCACACAAATCTCACCTTGAATTGTAGTAATACCCACATGTCAAGGGTAGAGCCAGGTGGAGATAATTCAATCATAGGGGCAGTTCCCCCATACTATTCTCGTAGTAGTGAATAAGTCTCACAAGATCTGATGGTTTTGTAAATGGGAGTTCGCCTGCACAAACTCTCTCCTGACTGCCACCACGTAAGAAGTGACTTTGCTCCTCCTTTGCTTTCTGTTGTGACTGTCAGAGCTCCCCAGCCATGTGGCACTATAAGTCAATTAAGCCTCTTTCCTTTATAAACTACCCAGTCTCAGGTATGGCTTTATTAGTAGCTTGAGAACAGACTAATACACTTACAAACAACACTTATAACTAAACAGACTAATATACTTATAAAAAATTAGCTGGGCATGGCTAATTTATTTCTCACAGATCTGCAGACTGGGAAATCCAAGATCAAGGCCCAGGCAGATTTGGCATGGGCTAGCTTTCTCACAGATGGTGCCTTCTTCCTGTTTCCCCACACAGTGGAAGGGGCAAGGAAGCTCCTTCGGGTCTTTGATAAAGGTAATAATCCTATTCATGAGCCGTCACGACCTAATCACCTCCCAAGGTCCCCACCTACCACTATCACTCTAGAGAGGATAATTTCAACATGAATTTCAGGGGCACACAAACATTCAGACAAGGGTACCCATGCTTCAAGAACTGAGGCAATGTGGGGTTAATGAACTAATCACCTATAATTTTTCCTACATAGATAGACTGAAGATAACAATACTAGAAAAAGACACAGAAAGCTGAGTCCATCATCTACTGTTTTCTCACATTTTACTTTTTTGTCACATGAAGATTGTCTTCAACTTCAATTTCCTACAGAGAGCCATGGTTGTTCCTAACTTTCTGGCCTTTTTAAACAGACACTAAGATATCTTATGCATACAATAATACTTATATCTACACATTGACTCAGCATCCCACCAGACTTATAGCTTCTTCCTTTTCCCTTCTTCTACTTGTTCTTCACAGGGCCAATTATTAGGAAAGTTCTTTTCTGTTTCTCTATTTAAGGCAGATGGCATCTTCATACAAAACCAAAGTATAAAGTGCATCTAAGCACAGTCTATTTCCCTTCTGATGTGGGTATAGTCATCCCTCCTTATCCACAGTGGATACATTTCAAGACCCAGTGGATGCCTGAAACCTGGAATAATACTGAACGCTATATTCACCACATGCAACAGATCTGAAAAGCTAGATGAGACTAAGAGACTAACAGGCAGGTAGGGCATACAGCATGGATGTGCTAGACAAACGGATGATTCATGATCTGAGCAGAACAGAATAGAAAGGTGCAAGACTTCGTCATACAACTCAGAATGGTGCACGATTTAAAACATATAAATTATTTATTTCTGGAATTTTCCATTTAATATTTTTGGACAGTGGTGGACTGTGGGTAACAAACTGCAGAAGGCAAAACCTTTAATAGGGGGACTATTGTATTTGGAGGACACAGACAGTTTAGGATCCAAATTATTCCAAAATGTAAAGATCAAACACTGTTACATAAGGGAAAGGAGAATGTTTTAAGGTATAATTGTAACGGCATATATTGATATGCCCTTGTCTTTTAGAATTTTAATTTCAATGAGAGAGGCAGAATATAAGCACTGAGCAATAAACAAGTTAATTGTGGGCTTTCCTGAGTATTAGGAAGAAAATAAACAGTGGCTTGTTGGGCAGTTATGGGTTGGGATGGAGAAATGTTCATTACATAAGGTGGTTAGGGAAGGCCTCTGATGAGATGATTTTTTAGCTCTGACTTGATATTCAGGGTAGACAGACCCAAGAGAAGAACATTCTGGGTAGAGGAAACAGGAAATGCAAATTCCTGAGTCAGTAAAAAGCTTGGTGAGTTCAGAAAAGTTGACCCATGGGCTAGATGAATACTTATTCAGTATGACATCTGTAAAACACAGGTGGAGCAGGCAAAAGAATGATACTGCCTGTGACTCAGAGGCGATCAGATTTGGAATTACCTCTGGACCCATCTAGTCTTCCAAGGCTCTTGACAGACTCAGTAGCTTGGTATACCTGTAACTCACTTGAAACATACCCTCGGTATCTCACATAATTTAGCAAACTCTGGACTAAAGTATAATGAAAAAGCTAAAAAGTAATAAAGAATGAGTTTATAGAAGTAGGAGGGAGCTGGTCAGGAAGAGGCTAACAGGGTTTAGATTTTTCCTATCTGCTACAGGAAAGGAATGAAAGAACAGAAGGGTACATTATAATTTGTAAGCAGTACCTAATGCAAGAGTTAAGAAAAGATTTAAGAAACACAAAAGTTTATATAAGTCTGTATGGCAAAGCAAAAGGGGATGGTAAGGAGCTGGATAAAGATTTTTGCAAGACAAAAATCTTAAGAGATTTAAGATTCTCTAATCTCTAGAGAATCTTAGTTCTTAAAGAGCAGACAGTCAAGTAGAAGAGAAGATATTTGAGGGGCCCATGTTAAGCATAAAGTTTCAGTTTTCTCCCCTAGGCCTGTAAGGCTGATGTAGAGTTTCTGAGCTGCATTAGTGAGAAGGTATCACCTCTAAAAATGGCTGAGCCATGATATCAAAAAGATTCCTCTCTCTGGTTCTTCCACACTCACCTGAGAATGGGCTTCTTGTCATCTCACTTGTCATCTCCCAAGGCTCTCTCCCTTGCTCCAATAAGGAGATCACATATGGCTTAGAAATGCAAAGACCTACATATTAAAAAAAGACATGAAAATTGGTCATGTTTTGGGTTATTTCAGAACTATAAGCCAGTTCCTTAATTCTGGTGGAATGATATAGTAGGAATACTAGATAAGAGATAAAGCACATCTGAAGGACAGACTACATAAAACTCTGGAATAGCCTAGTAAGACTGCTAACAGTTAACTCTGAGAACTATTTTATAAGGGATTTGAGGGCAGAAATTTAGTCCAACATTTTCTGAATATTATCACACAGTAGTAAATTAGGTATTTTAAAAGGTCCCTAGAAAGAGTTTGAAGTTTTGAGATAATTGCCTGCTTTAGAAAAAAATAAATACTCTTTAGGGAAATATGACAGAATCCAGAGGCTCTACAATGTTTTATTTACAGTACACATGAAAAAATTCAAAATTACTTGACATAAGGAAAAAGTGAATCATGCCCATTAGAAAAAGCAAGCAATAGACGCTCACACTGCAATAACAAAGAAGAAATAGCATATGATCTTAAAACAGCTATTATTATATCAATACTTAAGAATATAAAGGCAAATATAATGAATGCACACACAGGAAATCTCAGAAAAGAAACTATAAGAAGAACCAAATATTATATAATTTAAAAAATATAACATCTGAAACTTAAAAATTCACTAGATGCACCTAACCAAACACTGAGGGTAAGGATAGAGTCAGGGAATTTGACTATGAATCAACAGAAATTATCCAATCTGAGCTGGGCACAGTGGCTCATGCCTGTAATCCCAGGCACTTTGGGAGGCTGAGGTGGGTGGATTACCTGAGGTCAGAAGTTCGAGACCAACCTGGGCAACATGGTGAAACCCTGTCTCTGTTAAAAATAAAAAAATTAGGCCGGGCACAGTGGCTCACACCTGTAATCCCAGCACTTTGGAAGGCTGAGGCAGGTGGATCACGAGGTCAGGAGATCAAGACCATCCTGGTTAACATAGTGAAACTTCATCTCTAGTAAAAAAATACAAAAAAATTAGCTGGGCATGGTGGCAGGCACCTGTAGTCCCAGCTACTTGGGAGGCTGAGGCAGGCAGCCTGAACCCAGCAGGCAGAGCTTGCAGTGAGCTGAGATGGAGCCACTGCACTCCAGCCTGGGCGACAGAGTGAGACTCTGTCTCAAAAAAAAAAATGAAAAAAAAAAAATGAGCTGGGTGTGGTGGCGGATGCCTGTAATCCCAGCTACTTGGGAGGCTAAAGCAGAATTGCTTGAACCTGGGAGGTGGTGGGCCAAGATTGCGCCACTGCACTCCAGCCTGGGCAACAGAGCAAGACTGTCTTTAAAAAAAAAAAAAAAAAAAAGAGAGAGAGAGAGAAATTAAAACAAAGAACAAAGATTTTTAAAAGTGAAACAATCCTTAGTTACCTAGGGCACAATATCAAACAACCTAACATAGGTGTAACTGAAGTCCCAAAACAGAAAAGAACAGAAAAAAAGATTTGAAGAAATAATGGCTAAAAATTTCCCACATTTGGTTTAAGATATAAATTTAGTTTCAAGAAGCTCAATGAACCACAAGCATAATCAAAAGGGCTTCTAGAGAACAGAAAGTTAATCTAGCCAATGAGGTGGCCCCAGTGCTTAGAAGAAAGGGCCATAAGAATTTCCCTAACTGTAAGCGATCTGAAGCCATTTTCAGTTTGTGTCTTCAGTTTGTTACTTATCACAAGTTAATATAAAGATACAGATTTTAAAAGTGATATTCTGAATTTATAGTAATCTAGCTATATATTCTTTGTGAACCTTGTTGTTGTCTAGTGGTGATAATAATTCTGCAGGAGAGAGAGAATAAGGAAACCCAGGAGACTGGTGAGATTCACATTGTGTCCTGTGTTCCCAATTGCCTTAAGGGTGTACGCATGGAATATCTGATATTCACCAAATTCACTAACTCTAAATCTCAAGTTTTCTTCAGTCCCTCAATATCCTCTGTTTCTCAGATTCCATTCCCAGATTCCATTCTGACCTACATATAATAAAAACAAATTTAACAATAAATAAAAACATAAAAGTTCCTTAAAGGTAGATTATGCAGGAGGGAAAAGATCCTCACCAAGTGATACCAGGCTCTGATAGTTCTCCAACATCATACTCCTGTATAAATGCTTCTGAGCAGGGTTCATCCATTGCCATTCTTCCTGGGAAAAATCTATTGCCACATCCTTGAATGTCACTAAGTCCTGAAGTGACAAATATATTCTTAACCGACCAATACTCATGTCCAAAGATAACTCTGAGTTGATCCAAGATGTCTCTACTTTATGTGAGAAATAACTCATAGAAGAGAAAAAACATAAATATGAAGATCCAAGTCAAAATAGTACTTATGGAAGTGTTTAACTGCATTAGGTACAATGGTGCCAACCAATTCCGAACATAGGGAAATGTGGGTGCATAACTACAAGGCAGTGAAGAGGGCTTCAAGGAAGAACACATACCTGTGTTGAATCTTCAAAAGCACAAAAGGAATATCTAAATTGATATTTTTCAAATGATACTCCATGGGATCCAAGTTTTATTGGCAGGGACAGGAGAAAGGCATTGAACTAAGGTGGCTGATTTTTTTTTCTTAAATAATAAAAACATGTTTAAGAATGCAATTTTCTTATGTCTGCATCAGTGAATACTGTGTTTTCCACCAATGGTTGGTAGAACCCACAGTTGCAGAACAAAATGAAATTGAAGTTATAACTTTTAAATGTTCTTAGAGAAAAATTAATGACCAGTTGTAATCACCAACAGGTTGTAAGACATTTTAAAAGTTATTGTGGGCATTTTTCACCTTCAGATTTATTTCCATTGAAAATGAGTATCTTCTTAATCTTAGTGCCTGATTTGCAAAGTTATCAAAAATATAACTAAATAAAGACAAGGTTAGGAGCACAACATTTTAATTTGCTTTAAACAGTAATCTCCGTATCATGTCTTTGTTCTAAAGATTAGTGTTTAAAAGCAAATTTTAAACAGATATTCAATGTAGGGGACTTCAGAAGATATACATACCTTTAGAAAAATGTTTAATATATTTTTCATATAAAATAATTACAAAATTGTTTAAGTTTCTCTGTGAACTCTCAGTTTTCCTGAATTCTAGTTTTCACCTTCTAGTAAGTTGAGAACTAAGAACCATCATTTCACATATTCTTATAAAATGAGATGAATTCCTCAATGCAAGCAAAAGGTGCTCACATTCTTTCCAATATTTAGGATAATTCTGGTGACTATTAAGGACAGAGGAGCTTTGGGTGTTCCCACAGGAAAAAAAAAACTGATTGCTTTTGATCCTGGTACTCATGGTTAATAATCTGGTATATATACTACCAGAATTTTACCAATATCAATGAAATAACTTTATACACACACACACATGTATATGTAGTGATGTTTTTAACTGATAATGCTATAACCAATGAAGTAAATCCCAATGGATAGCATCTGAAGAGCTTGTAATTCTTTTTTTCTTTTTAAGGAAAAAACCATTTGTTGCAAGGTATCAGATAATTTATGAAATTTCCAGGAGGATTAAGACTCAATAAGTGACTAAATTAATTAAGACTAAATAAAATAAATGAGAAAAATAGGCAAACATCTCATTCAGAAGATTTTCAAATGATTTATGTTTGCCCTTAAGGAGGTAGAACATAATTTCCCACTCCTGGAGTGTAGATTGTGCATAGTGACTTCCTTACAAACAGTACAGTATGGAAAAGTGAGGGAAAAAAGAGTCACCTTATTATAGACAAATCTGACGAACACTACCTCAAAGTTAATTAACATTGATTAACATCAACAGTAATAACTCATGTTGACAGTGTGCACCCGATTTGACGTGATGAAAAAGGAAATTTACGGCCGGGCGCGGTGGCTCAAGCCTGTAATCCCAGCACTTTGGGAGGCGGAGACGGGTGGATCACGAGGTCAGGAGATCGAGACCATCCTGGCTAACACGGTGAAACCCCATCTGTACTAAATATTACAAAAAACTAGCCGGGCGAGGTGGCGGGTGCCTGTAGTCCCAGCTACTCGGGAGGCTGAGGCAGGAGAATGGCGTGAACCCGGGAGGCGGAGCTTGCAGTGAGCCGAGATCTGGCCACTGCACTCCAGCCTGGGCGACAGAGCAAGACTCCGTCTCAAAAAAAAAAAAAAAGAAAAAGGAAATTTACTTCTGCAATCTTCCTCCCCAAAACACAGTACCCTATTCTAATCATGAAAAACCATCATATTTGAGACATTCTACAAAATAACCGAGTATTCCTCAAAGTTGACAAGGTCATCAGTAAGCAAAGTATGAAAAACTATCACAGCTAAGAGGAGTCTTAGGAAATATGGCTACTAAATGTAATGTAATTTCCTAGATAGTATCCTGGAACAGAAAAAAGGCATTAGATAAAACCTGGCCAGGTGCAGTGGCTCACACATATGATCCCAGCACTTTGGGAGGCCAAGGCTGGTGGATCACTTGAGGCGAAGAGCTCAAGACCAGCCTACATAGCATGGCAAGGACAATCTGGCAAAACCCCACCCCTACCAAAAATACAAAAATTGGCTGTGCACAGTGCTGCATGCCTATAATCCCAGCTACTCCAGTGGCTGAGGCATGAGAATTGCTTGAACTGGAGAGGTAAGTTATAGTGAGCTATGATCCTGCCACTGCACTCCAGCCAGGGTAACAGAGTGAAACTGTGTCTCAAAAAAAAAAAAAAAAAAAAAAGAAAATTAAAAAGTTGAAACAATGAAAGAAAATCTAAACTAAGCACTTCAGTTACTAATAACATATCAATATTGGTTCATTAATTTTAACAACAGTACCACACTAATGTAAAATGTTAATAGGGGAAGCTTGGTGTGGTATAAGATTTCTCTATACTATCTCTGCAATTTTTCTACAAATATAAAACTATTGTAAAAAATAAAATTTATATTTTAAGTAAACCTCAAACGGAGGACATCAAAACTTCAAATTATCTTTTAAAAATCTATAAAGTCTAGCAGTAAACCCAAAAGGAGGCATTTAAGACAAAAATCAAGATAATTTTCAAAAAATCAGAAAATAGAAACACATAAGAGATTCAGATAATGGAATTATCCAACAAGGCTATCAAAAAATTATGATAATATTTTTAAGGAGTTAAAAGGAAAGGTAGTGAATTCAGGAAGAAAATAGAAAATTACATTAAACAATTAAATAAAAATTCTAGAACTAAGTATTCTATAACAGAAGAATTCCATTATGGGCTTAACAGGAGATTAGAGAGTTAAAGAGAGAATTAAAGCATAAGTGACATGTAAAATAGTGTGAAAAATAATTAACATGTATATAATTGTAATCTTAGAAACAGGAAAGTTTCAGAATATTTAAAAAGACAGTGGTTGAAAAATTTCCAAATTGATGAAAGACACCAAGCTACCCTGAACACTGACTTAAAACAAAAATAGTGAATAATGTTCACAGTCTATCAAATAAGCATGTGTGTGTGCATTTCAGGTGATCGGGTTAATGGACTGCATCTTTATCATCTATAGTAGTAGGTTACTAGATAATTTCTAAAACTAAAATAATCAAGAAATAGTGTATGGAGCAGTGTATGGAACATTATTCAGGAGTATGAGGTTAAATATCAAAACTAAAGACAGTAAGTAGTATTGGGGAGATCCCAACTTACTTCTAGAGAGCAAATGGGAGGGGAATAATTCTGTTGTGTTAAATGGTGCCTGTGACTTCAGGTAGAATTTTAATGACAACATCAGGCACAAAAACCATAAAAGGTCTGTATCTTTGGAAAATTATGTTAGATAATTCACAAAATGGTTTTAATGCTGAGGAAGACACAGATGCCCAGAATCCATGTAGATATTTTTTAATATCTCATGAACTCTGACAGTGCAAGAAAAAAAAGCAGTGTTTCAAAATTAATTTAACATAACTTTTGATATGAAGCATATAATTAAATTCATTAAGCACTAATTATGGACATCTGACACTCACGTATGTCATGAAAACACATTTTCCACTTAGAAAACATGTGAAGGGGAATTTCACAGTGGGAGAATTAAGGGTTCCTTTTGTATACATGGTTCTTTATATATGTGCAATATAATATTTAAAAATTAAAAAATTAAAAGCAGAAATTCAAGTAAAACTGAGCGTAGTACAGCAACAGAACCAAATATACACAGGAGTTTAATGCATGGTATAGGTGGCATTTCAAATTAGTGAGAATGAGATGAATAATTCAATTAATGCCATTGTGCCAATTTGAAAAAATAAATCTCTGCCTCACTTATTATAAATTATACATTTAATGTAAAAATTTAATGTAAATTAAATTTAACATAAAAAGTGAATGTAATTTCAGCCCTACCATGACAGAAAACCACAAAAATTAAGTCTAAGCTTACCAGAAACTTAACTGTGAAGGATAAAACAAATCTTAGAAGAAAAATAGGACCTAAAGGTAGACAAAAATTTCAACAGGACACAAAACACCATTAACTTTGAAGGGAAGAAAGTATTTACGTATACACACAAAGGCATAACATAGCTGTGAATGAGATACAAGCTGAGAATAACTTCTTAAAAGAACTGGGAGGTAAGGGTGAAATTTGTTTTTAAATTTTGTACCATGTGAACATCTCACCTATTTAAATTTATAAAATTTGCAAAAATTAAGTAGAATAAGATTTTTTCAGGTGAACAAATGAGGCTGGTAATTCATACTTAAAATGTAAAGAAAAACTTTTAAGGAATTTATCTTAAGGACATACTCAGAGATTTGGACAAAAATTCAGGTAGATGCATTCTTTATATAGGAGAGGCACTGGATGCACATTTAACCTGGAACCCGACTCACTGGTACTAAGATATCCACAGATATATTCCATACAACATAAATCAAGTCTTTTCACAAGAGTCAGCACTAAATTTAAAATGTACACAAGGTGGGAAGAGGAATCTCACAGGGGCCTCCATGACTTTTTATACTAAGCTATTACTCACTCATTAGGTAATTAGAGTTAAAGACAGTGGCCTCTGAGAGAAGTGGGAACTAGGCTCTTGGACTGTTAATCAGGGAATTTTCAAAAGAAAAGAAGCATTGCAAAGTACTAAACAGCAAGACTGCCTTTCATGAAGAGAAAGAAAATATCAACTAACCTGGGGCATGACTTTTACTACTTCAACATTCATTTTTGCCTTCTCTTCTGGTCTTTCTCTTGAAGAGCAGTGTCTTGGGAAGGCAAGGCTGAAGGAAGGGAAAGGTTAGTGAGACATGAGGCCTTTGCTGCACTCCCAGAATCACTAGCCTAAAACTGTCTTCTTCTTCCCAGCTTTGGTTGATCCCATAACTGGGTATGAGCAACCTATGGCCACTGAAGGGCTGTAACTCATAACTGGGTTTTTGTTTGTTGTTGTTTGTTTTTCATGCTTGAGGTCCTAAATTTAATCTTTTTCAAAGATCTACCTTCCCATTCAGATGTATTAGGTACTCTGCACAGATTAGATTATCTCGCTTTATTTTTGAAATAATCCTACAAAATAGTCATTTCCTCTATTTTTACAGGTAAAGGTGGAGTCATTCTCTTCTTGGGTCTCTGCTTCATGCTTTGAAAGTCTACTCTTTGAAAATCTGGCTCCTTTTTGGGCCAGATGGATGGGGTTTTTGGGAAAAAACAAAAGAAAAAGGAACATCTGACTCCCAAATGCTACTAGAGGCCAGGGTTATCCTCCTCCTTCACTCAACCCCCACCACTGCACCCCTGCCCTGCTCCCTGGCAATGTTTCACTTTCCTCACCCTGAAACGATGGAACCTTTAGCACTCAATCTGCCACTTTCACTCTCACCTCTGTCCCTGCCCCTTGATTACCCTCCTGTCACACAGAACTGAGGGTGTCTCCTGCTTCAGTTAGGAGTTTCAGTACCCCAGCTTTTGCTTCTTACTGAAACTCCTGGACTGTGGACAGGAATTCTATTCCATGTTTCCTATCCCGGCAACACACAATTCCAAACAGCCACACTCATAAACAATCCAATCCTATCAATCTTCCAAGTAGTCTCCCCACACACAGCAGTCACACAGGGCCACAATTACAGGTATACAGGGTGACATACAAACACTAACAAGTTTCCTGGTCACACAGAGGACACAATCACAAGCACCCCAAAACAAGCACATATACATAGTCACATTTCCATTGTCTGAGGACATGAATATAAGCACACACGGTGACTCACCAACACCTTCACATATACCCCTAATCTTACTTCTCTCACACACACAGCTCACTGTCCCCTATCTCTGTCTCACTCACACATTCATGCTACACAACCTCAGAGAGGTTATATTTGTAAAGTCTTTTGGATAACACACCATGGTTCACATAGTTTCTTTCTTACCCAACCACATCACTAGTCTTTCTCTCCCTCTTTCACACATACAAACATGATGTTCTCTCATACATACACATTCAATGGTAGCTTTCAAAGAGGCCTCAATTACTCAAATACACCAGTATCTCACACAGATACACACACACACTCTGATCTCTCACATTCCAACCGCTTTATCTCATGCACACAAAATACATACTGGTCGCTCTCACTCCACTCTTTTTCATACTGTGATACACCATCTCACTACCTACCAGGCCAGACAGAGACATACTCTAGTCTCTCACATACCCATTGGCCTCTCACACACTCACACCAACATACCCCATTCTCTCCCAATCACGGAACTCTCAGTCTAGTCTCTTGCTTTTACTCAGACACACACATGATCTTTCTGAGACTCCAGGGAGCCTCATACTTGTTAATCTTTCACACAGGCACATCTATTTCTCTCACACATTGATATACCCTGGTCTCGTACTCTGGATTCTCACAATCCAGTCCCTGATAACACACTCAGCTGACAAAGAGGAAAAACAAACTGTTTCTCTTACTCTACTCTCACAACACAAAACAGTTCTAAGACCAGATGTGTGGGGTCTTCACACACACACACACACACACACACACACACACCAGGCAAGCAATAAATTATTCAGTGAATACCAGGTGGGTGACCTCTAGGGCAACCCGATTCTGACACTATTTACCTGGAGATAGCATAAGATCCCATACATTGAGGGCTCAGTCCTACAAAATTGCTCCCCACTTCCAATGCCAATTGCAAGCCCCACATTGTTTTACGTGTGCTTCTGATTAGCTATAAATCGGGGTTCCTATGACCCTCTCCTTGCATTCAATTAATTTGCTAGGGCAGCTCACAGAACCCAGGGAAACACGTTTATAATCCTAAAGAATATTACAAAAGATACAGGTGAAGAAATGCATAGGAAAAGGTTATGTAGGAAGGGGCTCATCCTACAGGAGACTCCAGGGTTCAGCTATCTGGAAGTTTGATGAAGTCAGTCCCTCTGGGTTTTTACGAAAGCTTCATTACTTAGGCATGGCTGGTTAAATCACTGACCACTGATGATCAGTTTAACCTGTGGCTCCCTTTCCTCTCCCTGGAGATTGAGGATGGGACTGATAATCCCAAGCCTCTAATCCTGCCTAGATCGTTCTGATGACCAGCCGTTACCATGATCTACCTACAGGCTGCCAGCCTACCAATCATTAGCAAGCAAAAAGACACTTAATACTTTGGAGATTGCAAGGATCTTGGAAGTTGTATGCCAGGAAACATAACTTTGTCCGATCCTTTGATCGCCTCCCTCTCACAAACTAATATCAACATACCGTAGTCTCACTCTACTTTGATCGCCTCCCTCTCTCTCACAAACCAATACCAACATACCATAGTCTCACTCTTCAGACTCTCTCAGTTTAGTTTTTGTCTCTCACACACACGCCAGCCTCTCAAGGAGCCTCACATGACTGGTCTTTCACACACAGCCACATGTTCGTCTCTCTCACACTCACTGGTGTCATGCTGTGTAGAGAACACTCACGCTGTGAGAGACTCACACACACGAACACACCCTGGTCTCACACTCTGGTCTCTCTCAGTCTGTCAGACACACACAAACCATGGCCTCACACACTGACGGGTCTTTCACCCAAAACACCCATTTCTCACACTCACTGGTCTCCCTTTTACACATTAACACACCACAGTCTCACACTCTGGCCTCGCACGGTCTAGTCTCGCAGACATGGTGATTCTTCTCTCTCAAACACACACAGACACACACACACACACCGACCCACCGGCCTTTCACACACAGGCCCACGCCCATCTCTGGTGATTCTTCTCTCTCAAACACACATACACACACACACACCCCACTCCACCGGCCTTCACACACAGGCCCACGCCATCTCACACTCACTGGTCTCAAACACACACATACACACACACAAGACGCCTTCCAGCTGAGCTCACACACCGACCCACCGGCCTTTCACACACAGGCCCACGCCCATCTCTCTCACACTCACTGGTCTCTCACACGCCAGCCCGTCTCACTCTCTCACACGAATACATCCTGGTCTCACGCTCTGGACACCCGGTCTGTTACACACTTACACACCCACACATCCCGCATCTTCTCACAGAGCTTCACACGCTCTTTCAAATGCAGGCACACCCCCATCTCTCTCACACTCACTGGTCTCTCACACTGACCCGTCTCGCTCTGTCACACACGAACACACCCTGGTCTCACACTCTAGACTCTCGGTCTGTCACACACACACACACAGAAACCGCACCCTCTCACGGAGCCTCACACGCTGACCGTCTTTTACACACAGACACACCCCCATCTCTCCCACAGCTCACTCCCGTGGTCCCGCCGCCCCAAGCCGCCCCGAACGCCCAGCAGCCCCGAGCCGCGGCCTCCGCCCCGCAGACTCGAGTACGCGCGCCGCGCTGGCCTCTGGGAAATGTAGTCGTCTTGGGGACAGAAGACGCGGCTGGGCCTTCGCGACCCGGGTCTGAGCCGCCCGCCTCGCCTGCCCTTCCTGGCCCAGCCCTCGGGCTCGGACTCCCAGACCACCCAAAACAAACCCCCGGCCTCGTCTGGCACCCAGAAGCTCTCATCCGAAGGACTTCTTGAGTCGACGCCGGAACCTCCATCGCGCAGGCGCCAGCCTCTCTTCAGGGGTCGGACGTGACGGGCGGAGAGGAGGCGTGGCCTAGCGCTGAGGGGCTTGTCCTCGGGCTGCTGTGGGAGTGGGAGGGACCTTAGAGACGGAGCGGGTGGTGCCTGCGCAGTACGTGATTATGCCCGGTGGGCGTGGCCCAGGGTTTCCGGCGGGCAAGAGCGGAGTGTGCGCAGGCGCAAAGATTGCGCTCTCCCCCGCCCACCCTTTCGCCTAGAGACCAGAAGAGTCCCTAGTTACCGGTTTCTGGGGACTGGGAGTTAAGCGCGCGATGGCTGAGCCTTCGGGGTGAGCATGTGTGCGGCTTTGTGACGCTGTCGGTGCCTCTATGATCGCGATGTCATTCGGAGCGCGGCCTTCTGTACCTGTCCGTGGGAATGTGATTATCTTTCTGTGCTAAGCTTATTTTGGAATAAGAACAGCGACTCGGAACCCCTACTGTGTTGTGACTCTAGCAAATTAATACCTCTCTCAGCTGCAAAATAGGAATATCACTGCTCAGAGGCAGTGAATAACACGAAGTTTTTGGAACCAGTCCGCTAGGATTGAACCGCGTTCCGCCCCTTAACAGAATGGATATGGTCCCTGTTTTAGGGGACTAGCCCTTACTAGGAAAACTGTAGAATTAGTATGGGAAGGTGAGACAAATAAGGTAAAGCAATTCAGGGAGATACAGCAGAGAAAAAAAATCCCTGCCTTCTTATTATATAATTTACTTTGAGGTGGAGACAGACAAGCCACAAATCCATAAGTTAGATAAATAGTCTGATGAACAGTAAAAAGGGCTATGGAGAAATATAACACAGAGAAGGTTGTATCGTATACATTTTTTTCTATTGTCTCTTATAATGTCTTAACATCTCAAAACAACCTTTCTGCAGCAGACACTAGCCAGGTGACCTCTACTCCAATCCAATTCTGACGCTACCTGGAGAGCATCAGATCCTACAGGTTAGACAGCTCAGTCCCACAAGACTGTCCCCCACTTCCCATGCCAATTCCAAACTCCAGATTGTTGTACCTGTGTTTCAGAGAGATGTGCTATAAATTAGGGCTCCCACAACCGGCTCCTTGGGTTCCATTAATTTGGTAGAGCAGCTCACAGAACTCAGGGAAACATTTATGTTTACTGGTTTATTATAAAAGATATTTTAAAGGATACAAATAATAGCCAGATGAAGAGACATGTAGGGCAAGGTCCAAGAGAATCCCTAGTGCAGGAGCTTCTGTGCCCGTGGAGCTGGGGTGCACCACCCTCCCAGCATGAGGATGTATTTTTGTCTACCTTCTTGGAAGCCGCTTGAACTCAGGCCTTTTCGGTTTTTATGGAGGTTTCATTATGTAGATGTGATTGATTAAATCATTGGCCACTGGCAATCAACTCAATTTTCAGCCTCTCTTTTCCCGGAAGTAGAGGGTGGAGCTGTGAGTTCCAATCCTCTGAGCACATGGCTGGTTCCTCTGGCAACTAGCCACCACTCACCTCAAATATTGGGATTATCTTGTGAGTTTCCAAAAATCACCTCATTAACATAAACTCATGTGTGGTTGAAATACTGTCTTTCACGTTTATGGCTCTGGAGCTGTTCTGGAGCTTTTTCAGGAACCAAGAACAAAAGGCCAGATATTTTAACAAAAGATACTTTATTGCTGTAGTCATTTAGGAAATTAAAAGAGCTGTAGGAACTGTGAGCCATGAACTGTACCTTTCTTTCTAACTCCACATTCAGTGATGTCATACTCGTAGATTGAAATCTACCACAAGGGGACTATTTACAGTATGAAAATACAGTCTACATCACTAAAGGATGGAGATCCATTCTGAGAAATGAGTTCTTAGGCAATTTCCTAAGAATTTTGTTGTGCAAACATCATAGAGTGTACTTACACAAACCTAGTTGGTGTAGCCTACTACACACCCACACTCACTCAGACTGGGACAACCTAGACCTACCAGTTAACTTCTTGTGCCCATCTGTGGGATGTGGGAGGAATCTGGAGTACCCAGAGAAAACCCATGGAGACATGGGGAGACTAGTCAGAGTGCATTAGGACCCACCCTAACAAACTCATTTTAACTTAATTAACTCTGTAAAAATCCTATCTCCAAATACAGTCATTCTGAGATACTGGGAGTTAGGACTTCAACATGCAAAATTTGGGGCAGCCAAAATTCAACCAGTAACAAGAGGTTATTTTGATTCTTCTGTCCTCATTCAACCCACCAAGGAAGTAAGGGATATTTCCATTATCATACTATGTATTAAATTATCATTACATTACATATATAATGTTTTCTTTATCTAATTTTTACCTTATATATACCACATTTTTGTTCATGGGCCATCATGACCAAAATTTCACAAAAAAAAGGAAAAAAAAAAAGTAAGCATCAAATCCATATTCCCTCTGAATTGTGATTGTAATTCAGCTGCTTCCCACATGGGCAACTCAATGTCCAGTATTTCACAGTGGGTGCAGCAGAGATCTATTTAACTAATGAAGACTGAGTATTCTCTAGGGTAACACCAGGAGATTATCTAGTATATGACACTGTAGCCTATAACCAGGTTTTCTAATATTCTCATGTTACTGAATCTACTTTTCACTGCTCCTAAAGTGCTGGCATTCAGGACAGACAAAAAAATAGTCCATACTTACATTCCACAGGTAGCTCACCTTGCCCTTGGAATCGAAGAATGACTTGGGGAAGAAGTGAGTGGGGAGGAGGAGGTGTAGAAGCGTGACCATTCTGACTCTCTCTATGTTCTTGCACAGACTTAGTTTCTATCCTTGGCAAACTATTTAATATTCCAAATGGCAACAGATGGGACCCAGCTGAAATCCCTCTTGGAGTAGATCAGACTAAGGATCTTCATCATTCAACTGATTCCTGAATAGGGAAGAAGAATGTCATCCACTTCAATTTGACTTCTGACCCCACCACTGTATCTTTAATAAAATGAGAGCTCTATTGAAATATAGTCATAAGCTATATAATTCACCTCCATAAAATGTAAAAATCAGTAACTTTTAGTATATTAATAGATGTGTAACCACCGCCATGGTCAATTTTAAACATTTTTATCACGTCAAGAAGAAACCCCATAACCTTTAGCTATCCCCTTCCTCACCTCCCATTCCTCCAACACAAAGCGGATAATAATCTACTTTCTGTATTTATGGGCCTGCTTATTCTAGAGATATGTTTTTATTTTCTATATTTTATTATGCTCCAACATATTAGGGTAGGGGAGCTAGCTGTAGTTGGCTGGGGAGAGCCCCTCCTGCAGCTAGCTAATTCTTAAAGGCAGTAAACAACTTGCCCATAAACATACCCTTTATATGCAACCAACCAACCCAAAGCCCATAACCCCAATTACCACCTTCATCTAACTCTTATACACCAACCATTATTTCCCCTGCCCTAAACCAACTTGAGGACGAGACAACTAGAGACTACCCCCATAGCCCAGAGCCTGGCGACATTATTCAAACTAGACAATCCTAAATTGCTGCCCCTGCCTGGTTTTGCCTTTTCTAGAGAAAACATGATAAAGGCTCTGGGTCTAGGCTTTTTCCCTTCTGCCTAGGCACTCATTCTGCCTCCTGACCAAATCTTGAGACATCCCCATGTGGCTCTCTATGGTATGGCATGCTCCCTTCTGCTGGGAAATGGAAGTAATAAACTCTTCATGCAAAGGCAGTTGTCTCCATGTCTGTCACCTTACCATACTTGATTTTTAAAAATCCAGGGTGCATTTTAAAATGCCTCTCCTCACATGGAAGCTGTCTTAGCCAAAAATAAACCAAAACACATAAGCTTAACATTTGATGCTACATAAAATAGGATTAAGCTTTAGCAACACTATATTAAGAAGATGTAAAATGGAGCTTTTCTCATGTGTTATAAACTGTGTCCCCACAAATTCTTATGCTGAAAGCCTAACACCCTGCACCTCAGAATGTGACCTTATTTGGTTGCTGCAGATAAAATTAGTTATATCAAAATGAGGTCATTAGGGTAGACTCTAATCTAATCTAACTGGTATCCTTATAAAAAGGGGAAACTTCTCAAAATATTTCATGTACCCCCTACATATATATACCTACTATGTATCCACAAAAATTAAAAATAAGAAAATTGTAAAAATTAAAAGGAAAAATTTTAAAGGTGAAATTTGCACAGAGACGCATGCATGGGGGAAAATGACATGAAGAGACCACAAATTTCTGCTATTTAAGCCACCCAGTCTGTGGTACTTTATTATAGCAGCTGTAGCAAACCTATACATCATAGGGCAAAAAAGTTACCAAGTTTGAGTCATATTTTACAGCCAAAAAAAGGAAAAAGCTTTATGTAACTAACTTTATCTTGTTAGAATGTACAATTACAACTAAAAAAGTTCATTTTCAAGTGTATCATTTTTTGTTAGGTGTGTTTTTAAAAGCATATGAATTTATTTATTTTATTATACTTTAAGTTCTGGGTTACATGTGCAGAACGTGCAGTTTTGTTACACAGGTATACATGTGCCATGGTGGTTTGCTGCACCCATCAACCCGCCACCTACATTAGGTATTTCCCCTAATGTTATCCCTCCCCTAGTCCCCCACCCCCACAAGCCCCGGTGTGTGATGTTCCCCTCCTTGTGTCTAGGTGTTCTCACTGTTCAACTCCCACTTATAAGTGAGAACATGTGGTGTTTGGTTTTCTGATCTTGTGACAGTTTGCTGACAATGATGGTTTCCAGCTTCATCCATGTCCCTGCAAAAGACATGAACTGAAGGATATGAATTTGAAGTGATTATTTCCTACAGTACTTAGATTGTACAGTAGGCAAATGTTACAGGCTACTTAGACCTAAACTCAAATTACAATATATAAATCCCTGCTGGTGTTCCATCCAAATAGTATTAAGTTTTTAAATAGTGGGAGATCAACTAAGTTTAAAATGCTCCAATGTAATTGGAAAGAAAAATATATAGAAATGGATCCTAAGGAAATAATTACAGATGAGGGTCAAAATCAGCTGAAAAATGGATCAGGATAGCATTGGTTATGATAGCCAAAATTAAGGCAAAAAAACCTATGTGATAGTAAGAGTTAAATAAGTTGTGTTATGTTTACAATAAGATATATGATCCAAAAAATAACTAATACACTGATATGGTTTATCTGTGTCCTCACCAAATCTCATGTGGAATGGTAGTTGCCAATGTTGGAGGTGGGACCTGGAGGAAGGTGACAGGATCATGGCGGCGGTTTCTCATGAATGGTTTAGCGCCATCCCCTTGGTACTGTCTTTAGGATAGTGAGTTTGTTTTTGTGAGATCTAGTCATTTAAAAGCATGTGGCACCTCCCCCACCCCCACTTTTCTCTTGCTCCTGCTCCTGCCATGTGAGACTCCTTGCTCCCCCTTTGCCTTCTCCCTCATCGGAAATTTCTTGAGGTCTCCCCAAAAGCAGAAGCCACTATGCTTCCTATACAGCCTGTAAAACCATGAGCCAATTAAACCTCTTTTCTTTATAAATTCCCCAGTCTCAGGTATTTCTTTGTAGCAATGTAAGAACAGACTAATACACACACCATACAAAATACATAGAAAATAGGAAGAGTAAAATGACACCATTTACAATAACAGAGAAGAAAATATCTGGTAATATACTCAACAGGACCTTTATGAAAACTTTGAAAACTCTACCAATGGAGTTAAAAGACCTGAATGAATGCAAACACACATCGTATTCTTAGATAAGGGATTCAATATCATGAGTATAATAATGGCAAAACCCTAATAAAATGAACAAGTACATATTCAAAGTGGTAAAATCTGAATAAGGTCTGTGTACTGTACCAATATCGATCTCTTGGTTTGATATTATATTACTGTCATGTAGAATGTTACCACTGGGGAAAGCTGGGTGAAAGGTACTATTTTCGCAACTTCCTGTGAGTTTACAGTGATCTCGCAATGAAAAGTTAATTAGCCTTAGGGAGGGAATTGGGTCAAGGTGGCAGTACTTCTTACCATTTACTCTTCTGAAAGCTTTTTTTTTTTTAATCCACAATGCAGATATATTCTATTTAAAAGAGCATATTTTCTTCATCTAATGGCTTCAACCCTCCTAAATACCACTTCTTTCCTAAAACTTTCCTGGTTATTTTTTTCTGAAATTAATTCTATCCTGCCTAACAATATGCCTTTTTTTGTTCTCTGTATACAGGAAAAGACCCCAGCATTCCACAGATGTGGCCACAATACCATCTTGAAATAGGACCTCATTACTCCATGGAATCTTTTTTTTTTTTTTTTTTTTTTTGAGACGGAGTCTCGCTCTGTCGCCCAGGCTGGAGTGCAGTGGCCGGATCTCAGCTCACTGCAAGCTCCGCCTCCCGGGTTTATGCCATTCTCCTGCCTCAGCCTCCCGAGCAGCTAGGACTACAGGCGCCCGCCACCTCGCCCGGCTAGGTTTTTTTGGTATTTTTTAGTAGAGACGGGGTTTCACCGTGTTAGCCAGGATGGTCTCGATCTCTTGACCTCGTGATCCGCCCGTCTCGGCCTCCCAAAGTGCTGGGATTACAGGCTTGAGCCACCGCGCCCGGCCACTCCATGGAATCTTAATTCCTCATAGCAAATTTCCTGTCCCCATTGACCAGACCTCATCCTTTAAGAACAAAATCATCTTCTAGAATATACTGCAAGCCAGAGCTCACAGATATTCAGAGTAGGCTAGAGCTATCTGGGGCATGGTACCTCATAACAAGGCATCAATCCCTCATCATCTTACGTGCTTCTCAAGGATAGCTTCCTTTTTCTCTACAGACGGTACATTTCTGAGCCACCAGAGTTATTCACAGAATCGTAGGCACAATGCTCATAGTGAACACATACATGATGGTTAAGTGGAGAAGAACATCGACAGAGGGCGCTGGGCTACTTTAGCCGTCCCTTTTGGTCTTTCATTTGCCAGAAAGGGAGAAATAAGGACTAAGACCCTAACAGGGTCTTTATGAGACAGCAAGGTGCTGAAGGAAAAGACTGAAAATCACAGGAGAAGGAAATGCCAACTTACTTGGGACATGACTTTAAAGTTTAAAAGTGATTTTTGTCAAGGTGCCCTGTCCCATGCCTGTAATCCCAACACTTTGGAAGACCAAGGTGGGAGGATTGCTTGAGCCTAGGAGTTTGAGATCAGCCTGGGCCACACAGTGAGAACTTGTCTTTACAAAAAATTAGCCACGTGTAGTCCCATGCTAATTGGGAGGCTGAGGCAGGAGTAGTGCTGCAGTGAGCTGATTGCTCATTTTTTCCTTCTGATCCCTCTTTTTGAAGAGAAACTGTCCTGGGAAGGCAAAGTTAGGGAGAAAGAAAGGAGTTGTAAGATGCCAAGTCTGTCCTGCAGTTCCCAAGATCAGCTCAGAAACCCTCCCTTCCCCTGCTCTCCTCCTTTCCCTCATGTTCCAAACACAAACACGTTGTCATAATAAGATTCCAGATACTTGGGGACGGGAATGGTGGCTCACGCTTGTAATCCCAGCACTTTGGGAGGCCGAGGCGGGCAGATCACGAGGTCAAGAGATCGAGACCATCCTGGCCAACATGATGAAACCCTGTCTCTACTGAAAATACAAAAAAATTAGCTGGGCGTGGTGGCGGGAGCCTGTAGTCCCAGCTACTTGGGAGGCTGAGGTAGGAGAATGGCGTGAACCCGGGAGGCAAAGGTTGCGGTGAGCCAAGATCGCGCCACTGCACTCCAGCCTGGGCGACAGAGCGAGACTCTGTCTCAAAATAATAATAATAATAATAATAGATAAATAAATAAATAAAACACTGGTTTCTCTCTCTCCCCCCCCCACACACACATACTACTCAACCACAAAAACTGGCAAGGGCTAGAAACCTTAGCAGGATAGTCTTTTAGACTTTATAGGTCACAAGATTTCTGCAGCAAGTACTGAACCCTGCCATTGTGCAAAAGCAGTCCCAGAATAGACGTAAATACACACAAGTACACATATTCAAAATCAGTGGTTCCCCACAGAGATGTACACACCGCAAAAACTGGGCTCTAGAGTCAACAGTAAACAATTCAGGCTTTGTGGGGTCACACAGTACCTGTTGTCACTTACTCAACTCTGCGCTTCCGCAAAAGTGGATGCAGAAGCCAAACAGATGTCCAGAACATACACACATATTCAAAATCAGTGCCCCCCCGCCACGTACAAAACCACAAAAATCGGCTCGGAGACACACGTCTAAGGAAACACAAAGGTTCGTCCTCACACATGTTCAGAGTAACACAACGTGGATCTCACCTACACAAACGTGCGATCAAAAGCCGGGACCCCCACGCCCAGATGACAGGGACGAGGCCATACTTCACATCTTCTCTCACAGACTCACAATTACGTAACGGTCACCTCACACGACTTTATGGCGGACACTCCCGGACCTTCCGCTGCCCGCACCTCCTCGCCGCTTCTCCCAGCCCGGGTCAGCCTCACCCACCCGGTCTCATCCCCGACGCAGTCAGTTTCACCACCAGCCCGCCGGCTGCGCAGGCGCAACACCGCAAGGAAGAGCCGCAGACCGCGCAGAGGCCTTTGGGAAATGTAGTCCGGGCGCCACGCAAAGGACTGTGGGCCTCTTCGCAAAACGTGCAGGTGAGTCCTCACCGTCGTCCGAAAGAAACATCCCTGTGCTACTCTCTGGGTCAGTTTATCTCCGACCCGGACAGAGCAGAACCAGCGCAGCCCAAGCTTTCTTCACCTCACGTTGTGGGTGGGCCCTTCCACAGCTTCGCTGCACCCCGGTGGCTTCTGGAAGTTGCAGGATGACTGCGTAGTGCGCACGCGCGGGTGGGGGCGTCTGCGTCCGCTGGTGAGACCGGCTACAAACCTCGTGAATGTGGGGGCGAAGGATGGTGGCGGGTGGGGGGGCAATAAGCCCTCACACGGGAACGTGTGGGTGTGGGAGCGGGCAAGGCGGCGAACTGGGGAGGTTGCGTTTGGTTAAAGAGCTCGAGGAAGGGCCTCAGTGTCCACACGTGATCTCCTGAGAGGATGAAAAGCAGGGCCGAGCGCCCGTCCCCTAGGAGCCCGGTGCGCGTGCCAGCCCCGGGAGTGTGCGCAGGCGCGGGGCCTCGAGCGTCCGCCCCCAGGACTGCACCGATTGTGCGAACGCGCTTGAGCGTGTGGCGTTGAGGGGGCGGGGCCTCAGGCCGGGGCTGGTGGTTCCCTCCCCGAGAGGCGGGTGAGCGCGCGCCGCGTGGCCTTGTTTGGGGGCGGGGCCACGCGCCTGCCTGCGTGGTGCGTGTGTGAAGGGGGGTGCGGCGCGCGGTCCCGGGGTCCCGGAGGGGATTGCGCAGGCGCTGGGTCCCTGCGCGGCTGTCACGGTGGTCGCCGCTGGGGTCGGAGCCTGGGAAGACCGAGGTGAGGGGGCTGGCGAGAGTGTGGGTGTGTCTCTTTGAGGGCGTGGGCGGCGCGCCCGCCACTGCGTGGAAGTTCCTGCCCGGGCGCGCGTGGGTGTCTGCGCGGGTGCTTGCGGGGGGCGTGGGCTCGAGCCTGCGTGGGTTCTGGGCCCGCGGCTGCGTGGGGTTTGCGCCTTTTCGCTGTTGTGGCTCTCGGGGTTTGTGCGCCCGCGTGTGAGGCGCGCCATGTGTGGCTGTGTGTGAGGGAGCTATGTCGGGACCGCGGATGTGTATCGCTGCGTGACCCACGCGAAGGAAACAATGGAGCCAGTGGGAAGCCGGGAGTGGGTGTGTGACGCTGGCTGTGAAGATTTGTGTTGCTGGAGTGTGTGCGTGTGTGTCAGTGTCAAGCTGATGTGGGCGTTTATCGTAGCCTTGGGTTACTGTGTGATTTGCCTAGGCGTCTGTCTGCCACTTAGCGTCAGTGGCTTTGCGGTTGTGAGTGTGTGACTGTGCCCTTCTGGTGTATATTGCACTGTAACCATGGAAATGGAGGCCCGCAGGGGGAGAATTTTGAGCAGCTCTAAGGTGTGATGGGCTGCCCTGGAAATCTGTGGAACTGTTTAATTGTGCATGACTTTCCTCCTTGGTACAATAGCATATTAATAGCACCTGCCTGGGTGTTACTGGGAAGATTAAATGAGATGACGTAGCTGAAACACCCTGACATGTGACAGACCTTGTCACATACTTATCACCGTGTTTAGGTGTTGGTTTTGGTGCTAGTGGTCGTTTTTCTTTGACCCTAGACAGAGGCAGAGATAGTGGTGAATGCTCGAGGAGTTTGCATCTCTGAACTTGGGACTGGGCGATCTTTGTCCACATACCAGGGCATCTGACCACCTCCATTTGAGCAGTGGTGCACTGTCCCCGCCAACCACCTATGTCGTCTGTTTTCTGCATGTGTGCATTTGAGTGGAGGACAGAGCCCTCCACTGACGCTGCGTATGGTTGTGTCCCCTTCCTACCAGCGTAGCTTGGAAGCAAGAGTGTGGACTGTGGCGCCCCACTGTCTGGTGTTGACTCCTGGTTTCACCACTGGCTAGCTGTGTGACTGGGAGAGCTTAGTTAAGTCCACCACCCCTAGGTTTCTCCTGTAAAACAGTAGTCATAACAGAACCAACCTCAGGCTTATGGTGAGCATAAGTAGAACTTGGCACAAGGAACTGCCACATAAATGGTCATCGTTTTATTAGTAGCATAATAACCGCAGGCATCCCACACCTGGAGAATAAAATCCACAGGTAGAAAAGCAAAAGGACGAGGCCTAGAGTAAAGGTTTCAGGTTCAGAGGTAAAATAACTTGGACGTCTAGATCAGGGCTTAGGTTCAGAATTGTGTAGTCAGGGTCCTGGGAGGGCAGCAGTAGAGTGAAGGAGGTGGGGTCAGGAACAAAGGATCTTCCTGATGGAGATGTCCCTAGGGAGCCCATGGGGAACCCATGGGGTCAAGAACAGAACTTTGAAGTGTCAGGGACTAAGGGATGTTCTCATATAACACATGGGTCTGGAAATGTTTCTGTCCAGACCAGTGTTTCACAGCCTTGTCACTGTGACATTTGGGGCCAGATAGTTTTTTGTTGGGAGATGGGAGGGGGTGCTATTCTATGTGTTATAGGATGTTATACAGCAACCCTGGGCTCTATTTACCAGGCCAGCAGCACACCGCACCTCCCTTCAGATTGTGACAAGTGAAAAAAAAAAAAAATGTCTCCAGACACTGTCAAGTGTCCCCTGCAGGGGCAAAATCACTAATTGAGAGGACGGTGTCGCGAAAGCATGGACAGACCCAAGGCACGATGAGAGGGAGAAGAGTAAGGGAGCTGGGGAAGGCAGGGAGGGAAGAGATGATAAAGGGATAGTGTTCTGAGATGAGAAGAAAGGTGTCCATGGCCTGCAGCCCGGGTAAGCTCCGAGATGCATTCATTCGTTCAGCCGGTGAGTGCCTACCACGGATTGGGCACTGTGCTAGTCTCTCAACAAAACAGGCAAGGTTTTTACTTAGCTGGAGCTTGCATTTAGTGGGAGAGACAAAAATAAAGTCTATAATAGGTGCTGATTGTATTTTGAAAAGGAAAGCAGGGTAAAAGGATTACTGGGCGTTGTTAGGTGTTCTTTTCAGAGTCAACATCCAGGTCTCCCATGGGCATCTTGGTCAACTCCAGAGCCAGGAATGGCCACCAGCAGTGACCCTCTGGAATCCCTTGATTAGGGAATCTAAGAGTTTGACTTTGATCTTACCAAAGACTTTTCTCTTCACTGAGGTCTGGACTTCAGCAGAAACAGGTCAGATCTCTAGCTCTGTCCTTGAGACTCAAACGTTATTGTAAATGATGGCTTCACGTTACTGTCACCTTGGAATGCTTTATTTAAAAAAAAAAGGCGGGTCAGACTCAATCCCCAGAGATTCTGATTTAATTGGTCTGGCGTAGTGAACTGCCATCAGCTGTCACTATTTATTAGCAAGCTCCCAAGAGACTAATGTACGCACAGAGTTGAGAGCTACAGCTCTGAGTGCCTGCAGCCCAGGCTCCTTTGGGGCCTCTGAGAATGAGATAAATTGATTTGGAGGAGTCAGGGGGAGGATGCAAGTGACCTCTGCTTGGATATCTTATCAAAAACAGTCCTCAGAGCTGCACTTTCCTGCAGTAGGGATATTCCTAGCCCCATCCTGCAAGTGAGGAAACCTAATCTGTTCCCACACAAAGTGGGAAAATGGCAGACTAGACATGCATATGCATAGCCTGTGTTCTTCCTGTAACAGCTGTGCTGCGGTCTTTGGTGAAATTGCATACATACGTTCCTGGCCTCGGACTGGCAGGTTCAGGCCAGGAGTGATCTTTGAATATTTGACAGCTGGTACAGCAAAAGCTGACTGGCCCAAAGGAGGCAGTGAGGCTGTGGCAGTGCATTTAATGGCTGGTTTTCAGTATATCAGGACCCTCCCCCAATTCAATACCCAGCACAGCCCCCCAGGCTCAAAGGGGTGCCAGGGCAGGAGGGGAAGGCCCCTCAGTTATTTGCCTCAGAGGGGAGGCACAACCACTGTTCAGTAGCTCTTTGAAGCATGTTCCAGCCGTCCTCGCCTCAGGAGGACGTAGCTTTGTGCCTTTCAAAGCCCTTTCTCATCTATCATCAGGGACTCAGAAGACGAGCCAGGTTTACAGCCCTGCCTTGATGTGGTATGTGCGACCCAGCCTTCTTTTATTTCGTTTGTTGTTTTGAAGATGTAATTATACGTTCATGACACAAAAACAAAGCATAGAGAGCAAAAAGCGGGTTTTGGATTTTTCCAAATCCAAAATATGTTATATATGTGGATTCCCACACATATAACGTGGTTCCTTTCTTCAGGGACAGTCACTGCTACAGACGTTTTGTTTATCTTTCCAGCGCCTTTTCAAAGTCACATATTTGTATACTATATTTTGGTTTTTCTAAATGGCTTTTCTATATTTTTCCCCTTACACCATTTTATCTTGGAGGTTTTTCAGCCTTGGCACAGTTGATGTTTTGAGCCAGATCCTTCTCTGCTCTGGAGGGCCGTCCTGTGCATTGCAGGAGAGTGAGCAGCATCCTTAGCCACCACTCACTGGATGCCGGGGCACCTCGCCTCCCAGATGTGACAACCAAAAACAGCCTCAGACATTGCAGTTTTCTCATGGGAGGCAAAATTACCCCCAATTAGGAATCACTACTATGGTTCTACTTTGTTCCTTTTAATACGTGGTGTCTCGTTATATGCATGTAATGTTCACTTAACCATTTTCCTATTGATGGGCTCTTAGGTTGTTTCCAGTCTCCTGATGGTGGTAGTAATAATAAAATTCTTAGCATTGACCCTGCTTCCTGGCACTCCTCTAAATGTGTTACATATTTTGACTCATTTAATCTTCACCACAACCCTGTGAAGTCATTACTGTGTTTTGTCTCATCTTGCAGATGAGGAAGCTTAGCCCCGGAGAGGACACGTAGAGTGTCTTAAGTCCACACAGATAGCGGATGGCAGAGTTAAATACTGAACCTAGACAGCCTGCTGCAGGCCCACACCCTTACCCAAGGAAATGTACTGCCTCTTTCTATAAACTCTGCCACGGTGAATACCCTTGTGTGTCTCTCATTGTGCACATGTGCAAAGACGTCTGAAGACATGTACAGGAAATAAGGTTGCTGGATTAAAGAGTACAACAGGGGTAAAGAATGTGTATCTTCAGTCTTAAAGACATTGCCAAATTGCCCTCCATTGAGGTTACATCAATTTCTCTCCTCCGGCACTAGATAAGAATTCTAATCTCAGCCTTTTTAGTGGGTCTCAGTCTTTGTTGGTCTCTTGGATGCGTGGTATGTGGTTGACCCTTGAATAGTGCAGGGGTTAGTGGTACCAACCCCCTGTACTGTAGAAAATCCAAAATATGTTATATATGTGGATTTTCTTTCAGTAAAGTGACCATTAGACTATTAGTACTTAAGTCTTTTTTGACTCCCCAAAGACTTAAGTACTAATAGTCTAATGGTCACTTTACTGGCCCCTAAGCAATAACCTAAACAGTCTGTTAACACATATTTTGTGTGTTACATGTATTACATACCCTATTCTTATAAGATAGAAGAAAATGTTATTAAGAAAATCATAAAGAAAATATATTTACTGTTCATTAAGTAGGAGTGGTTTTCATACTCATGGCCTTCAAGTTGAGTAGGCTGAGGAGGAAGAGGAAGAGCTGGTCTTACTGTCTCACAGGTGGAAGAGGTGGAGGAGCTGGAAGGGGAGGCAGGAAAGGTAGGCACACTCAGTGTAACTTCCATAGAAAAACATCTGCATATAAGTGGACCCTCACAATTCAAACTAACGTGGCTCAAGGGTCTACTGTATTGTGAGTTGAAGAGGAAAAGGAAGGCAAGCAATGACCATGTTCCAGGTACCGAAGACATCACATGTAAATATCCTAACAGCAGAGGTGAGGTAGGTTTTCTTTACCCCATTGTATAGATGAGCAAACAGGCTTTGTGTAACTTTTTCACAGCCAGTAGTTGGCAGAGGCAAGCTTTGAATCCAGGATTATCTAATATCAAACTGCTGTTCTTTCTTCCCCAGTAGTGCCGAGTTCCTTGAAGAAAATTGTTTTATGGACAGTGTATGAGTCTGTTTTCACGCTGCTGATAAAGACATACCGGACTCTCAGTTCTACGTGGCTGGGGAGGCCTCACAATCCTGACGGAAGGTGAAAGGCATGTCTTACGTGGCCGCAGGGAGAATGAGAGAAGGAGAACCAAGCGAGAAGGGTTTCCCTTACAGAACCCAGAACCCTCAGATCACATGAGACTTACAGCCGTGAGAAGAGCCAAGCGGAAAGGGTTTCCTGTACAGAACCCAGAACCATCAGATCACATGAGACTTACTCACTGCCATGACAACAGCATGGGGGAAACTGCCCCCATGATTCAGTTATCTCCCACCGGGTCCCTCCCACAACACGTGGGAATTATGGGAGCCATAATTCAAGATGAGATTTGAGTGGGGACCCAGCCAGACCATATCAGACAAGAATCATGCTTCTCAAATTTGGGGTGCGTGGCTGAGTGCAAACACCTGTGAAAACTGCAGGATGAATGCCTTACAACTTTCTGGAACAAGTCATTTTACCTGAGTAATTGGACAGGGAAAGCCAAGTGATCTGCTTATCTGGTAAATCATTTAAAACATGATTTTTACATTAACACAAACCCAGATTTATTCTGAAGTAGTATGCACAAATGAACATGTTTCAAAACAAGAAGTCAAAAGAGTTTTCTGTTATGGGCAGCTGCTTTGGGATTTACCGCAAACCATAGAAATAGGCATCAGCCCTCCTGTACTCTTCAGGGATATCTGCCCAAAGTTTGAGAATTCCCAGGCAAGGAATAGGGCTTTGTTCTCGAAGGCCCTGCAGCAGTGGTGTGCTGGAGCTGGCTCACCCAAGCCATTCAGCCCCAGGCCAAGTGACGTCAGTTCAGTAGCTTACAACCTGCTGTGATGGGAGTGTGTATTAGTCCGTTCTCACACTGCTAATAAAGAAATACCTGAGACTGGTAATTTATAAAGAAAAGTTTAGGCCGGGCGCGGTGGCTCAAGCCTGTAATCCCAGCACTTTGGGAGGCCGAGACGGGTGGATCACGAGGTCAGGAGATCGAGACCATCCTGGCTAACACGGTGAAACCCCGCCTCTACTAAAAAATACAAAAAACTAGCCGGGCGAGGTGGCGGGCGCCTGTAGTCCCAGCTACTCGGGAGGCTGAGGCAGGAGAATGGCGGGAACCCGGGAGGCGGAGCTTGCAGCGAGCTGAGATCCGGTCACTGCACTCCAGCCTGGGCGACAGAGCGAGACTCCGTCTAAAAAAAAAAAAAAGGAAAGGAAAGTTTAATTGGCCCATGGTTCTGCAAGTTGTACAGGAAGCAGCAGCTTCCAGGGAGGCATCAGGAAACTTCTACTCATGGCAGAAGGCAAAGTGGGAGGAGGTGTCTTACATGGTGGGAGCAGGAGAAAGAGGCGGGGGATGCCACACACTTCTAAACAACTAGATCTCGTGAGGACTCACTCATGAGACCAGCACCAAAGGGATGGTGCTCAACCATTGACGAAGGATCCACCCCCATGATCCAGTCACCTCCCACCAGGCCCCACCTCCAACACTGGGGATTACAATTGAACATGAGATTTGGGTGGGGACACAGATCCAAATGGTATCGGAGGATTTACTCCGTGGAAGTTAGTAAACACTATAAATCACCCCTGCAGCAAGCTGCTTGTTAAACATTCCCCAGCACACCACTGTCCTAGGGTCTAACACAGCCAAGAATGCAGGTGTCCAGGATTCAGGGCAGGCCGCTTGGTCCCCATCTCTGTACGAAGGAAGCCTTGCTCAGAAAAGTCAGAATCAAAGGCCAGTCTGCTCAGTTCATCACCGAGCCCTTGCTCCTCAGTCTTAACATGATACGCTCAAATTTTCCCCAACTCCTGTGGCCACTCTACTATGACAGAAACATGTGGGGATGTTTTCAGGAAGCATTTCACCACACTGACGCCTCCTGTACCCTGCCAGGGTGGATAGTGGACTTCTGCCTTGTGTGAGGAGTGCAGTGTGTGCAGCTTGTGGATAGGGCCTCAAATCCAGGCTCCATCAGCTAAAGCTCTGTGACAACAGGCGGGTCATCGTCCCTCTCATCCCCGCGATGGAAAATAGGAACCCTGGGTGGTTGGTTTGCCATTAAAGGTTAAAGGAGATGGTGTAATGCATATAAAGGATCCAGCACAGCTTTTATTCTCATCGTTGTTAACTGCAGAGGTGATGTCGCTGCCCAGGCATGGGGTACATTCAACACACACACCTGAGCACGTGCATAGAGCACGTGGGCAAAGGATGGTCAATGTGACTTTTTACCAAACTCACATCCCACAGAACTGGCCCCACCTGGCACTTGTAACCTCAACAGCAATGATGGTAAATACAGTTTACCTTAATGGAGCATTGACTGATATGATCTCATCTCATCCTCCAACAGCCCTTTGTCCTCCCTTTGCAGATGTAAAGGGGGGAGATAAAGACCCATCAAGGTTCAGTAACTTGCTCAGGATCACACAGCTACACACATGAGAACACTGGTCAACTCATTGTCCGGTGGAGGACAAGAGGTGAAGCCAGAAGGCAGATGTGCTCACAATGGAGCGTGTTTCCCCTGTGAAGAAGTGGCACCTGATACATGCGAAGGATAGCCCTACCCCGGTTTAGTGGGTGAGGGAAGGCTCCTTGAAAAAGTGCTAGTAAAGAAAGTTAATATTTATTACAGAGCCGTTCAGTCATTCAGTTAGCAAATACTTAAGCCCTTTCCGTGTGCTGGATGCTGGTGTAAGGCACTTGGAATAGAGACACCCGTCCTCGGGACGGTTGACGGTAAGCACTAGACATAATAAGCAAATTGTGCAGCGAGTTACACCATGACAAGAGCTACTGAAAAAAGAAATATCTGAACCAGCTGTGAAGGGTAGGTGGGGGCAGCTTGCGTTATTAAATAGGATGGTTAGTGAGGCTTGCTGAGAAGGTGAGGTTTGAGCAGACTGAAGGAAGTGAGGTGGGGCTGTGGCAGCCCCTTCAGGGACTAGCAGGGAAGCACCGGCATGGGGGTGGGGGTGTGGGACCCGAATGTGATTCTTGATTCTTACAACTCCCTCCAGAAGTAGGTTCTGAATTGTCCCCAGTTGAGAGGTGAGGAACGTGCGGCACAGAGAGGTCCAGTGGCCTGCCCAGGGTAACACAGCTGAAGGAACACTTGCCACGCTCAGGTGATCTGACCCCAGAGTGATGTTTACTACCACTGGGGGCCGCCTGGCCCTTCCCTCTGGCGAAAACAAGGCAGGACCCTGAGCTTCCTCAGCATGAGGGAGCTCTGGATGCGTGTGTGTGCGCGCGTGCGTCCAAGAGGGAGGCAGGCAGGGCTGGTGTTTCGGGGCTCCTTTCTGCCTCTTGGAGTGGCCTCACAGGCCAACTTCAGCGATCCCAAGCCTACCTCTTCATCTCACCCTAGCCCTGTGATTCCCCTGAGTTACCGATGTTTTCAGCACCTGGTCACTGACAAAGCCAAAGAAGCCCATTTATTGGGCATGAGGACTGGAAGGAAATGGTGGAAGGGTCACTATGTTCATTTCCTCTTGCTGCTGTGACAAATTACCACAAACTTAATGGCTTCAAGCTACACTCATGTATTCTCTTAACAGTTCTGAAAGGCAGAGCTATGAAGCCGCGTCAGCAGGTGTTCCTTCGTCTTCAAGGCCAGCAGCATAGCTTCCATCTTGCAATTTCTTTTTCTCTCTGACTCTGATCCTCCTGCCTCCCTTTTATAAAGAGGACCCTTGTAATTATGTTGAGCCCACTTGGGCAATCCAAGATTATGCTGTTGAGAACTATCTATGTAGCCTTTAACCTCTTCCCTGGCATACAACTCCTGAAATCTTAGAATTTCCAAAGTGATGTCCGTGAACCCAAAATATCGGAGACAAGTCTTAGTCAATTTAGAAAGTTTATTTTGCCAAGGCTGTGACACAGCCTCAGGAGGTCCTGACACATGCCCAAGGTGGTCAGGGCACAGCTAGGTTCTATACGGTTTTGGGAGACATGAGACATCAGCCAGTATATGTGAGATGTACATTGGTTTGGTCCGGAAAGGTGGAACAACTCAAAGTGAGGGAGGGGCCTTCCAGGTCATAGGTAGATAAGAGACAAACAGTTGCATTCCTTGAGTCTCTGATTAGCCTTTCACTGAATACACAGTTTACATGTGAGAGGAGGGTAGAGGAGTAGTCACGTATGCCTTAGTCTGGCTTAGTGAAATAGGGCAGAGGAAGCAATCAGATATGTATTTATCTCATGAATTCTGTGTGTCCTTTGTCCATAAAGAATTTCCTTGTGGGCAAACTGTGAGGGAGGTATGTGGTTAGTAATAAAATGGGAGGCAGGTTTGCCTGAAGCAGTTCCCATCTTGACTTCCCTTTGGCTTAGTGATTTTGGGGTCCAGAGTTTTTGTTGTTGTTTTTGAGATGGAGTCACCCAGGCTCTGTCACCCAGGCTGCAGTGCAGTGGCGTGATCTTGGCTTACTGCAACCTTTGCCTCCCAGGTTCAAGCCATTCTCCTACCTCAGGCTCCCAAGTAGCTGAGATTATAGGCATGTGCTAATTTTTGTACTTTTAGTGGACACGGGGTTTCCCTATTTTGGCCAAGCTGGTCTTGAACTACTGACCTCAAGTAATCTGCCCACCTCAGCCTCCTGAAGTGCTGGGATGACAGGGGTGAGCCACCATGTCCTTTCCTTTTACATGTCTTTTGTATGCTAATGAGATGGCTGGTGGCTGGTAGCCCCTGGGTAGCTTCAGGATGGGGTTGGTCACCAGAAAGACCGAGGCAGTACTAGACAGTGGGGACTTTCAGCTCCACCCTCCAACCTCCGGGGAGGGGAGAAAGACGAAAGGTTAAGTCGATCACCAAGGGCCAGTAATTTAATCTTGCCTGTGTCATGAAGCCACCATAAATACTCAGAAGGACAGGGTTTGAAGAGCTTCTGGATAGCTGAACACGTGGAAGTTCCTGGAGGGTTCCCAAGGAAGGCATGGAAGCTCCACACCACCTCACACATACCTTGTATTTCTACACGTTTCTTCTTCTGTATTATTCAGAATAGCCTTCATCATCAACCAGTAAATGTCAGTATTTGCCTGAGTTCTGTGAGCTGCTTTAGCAAATTATTAATAATGGAATAATTATTAATAATTATATATTATATATTATATACTAATTATTAATAATTATTATTATATTTATATATAAATAATCCCCAAAAGGGGATTGTGGGAACCCCAGCTTAAAGCCCGTCAGTCGCATGTTCCTGAAGTCCGGACATGCATCTGAATGTGGGGCAGTCTTGGGGGCTGAGCCCTCAAGCTCTAGGATCTGATTCTATCCCCAGGAACATAGTGTCAGAATTGAGTTGGAGGACAACCAGCTGGGGGTGTGAGGAAAATTCCTCACCCATGTGGTCATGGAAGTCTTCTGTATTGATTGCTGTGGTGTGAGAGCAGAGGAAAAACGGTTTGTGTTTTTTCTATTTTCAGGATGATGTCCCCGCCCCCAAGATCCTTAACTTCATCACATCTGCAGAGTTCCTTTTGCTATGTAAGGTGCCATATTCATGGATTCTGAAGATCAGGATGTCCGTATCTTCTTTGTGGGGGCCATAACTCTGGTCTGCCACAGTCACTAATGCCCCAGTGCCCTCGTCCCCCCACCCCATTCCCAGGCAGATGAAGTCAGGTATCCCCCTTAGCCTGATGTGGCCGGCATGGCACACAGTGCTAATTAGAGGCCCCTCCGGGACCATGGCTCACCCACATGGGACCCCACCCCTTCTTGCCCAGTGAGTGTTGCTGGAAAAGAGGGTCCCAATCCAGACCATAAGAGAGGTTTCTTGGATCTTGCGCAGGAAGGAATTCAAGGTGAGTCAGCACGGTGAAAGAAGCAAGTTTATTGGGAACTACTCTGTTACAGAGTAGGGTGTTCTCAGAAAGCAGGAGAAGGAATGGGAAACTGTAAACAGCTATCATTAAACCTGGAATGTGCAGATGAGCTCACTAAAGGTAGGGGCTATTTGTGCTATCAATGACCATTCATCCTTCAACCGAAGCCTGGTCATTGATGTTATCTCTGAGTAAAGTGGGCTGCACTCTCAGGACACCTGGACATTCTTCAGGCTTGGTGGGAGATGTTCTGTGTGTCCATAAACTTTCTGTAATTATAATAGGTGGTCAGCTCAGGATGTGGCTATTTTCAGACTGTAAGCATGAACCTTATAGCGGGGGCCTTGTGAACGTCTAGCTACTCACTTTAAGACAGAGTCACCCTGGTCGTGTTTTATTAAACCAGAGGCCTGGTAACCAGGGATCCCTCTCACAAGAGCTCTAACAAGAGGTGGGTGTTACCTCTTACTGGCTTATGTTTCAGAGTCTGCAGGGCCACCTCCCAGGTTCCAGCATTCTCAAGGGTCTCCCAGGACCCAGCCGGTAGTCATGCTCACACCTTGGGCCAGGGAATGGCCACGGCAGAACTGTGTCTCTGGGATGGGGTTTCAGCACACTGAGGATTTGGTTGAGTTAGTCAACAAGTGTTTCTTGAGCACCTGCTCTGTGCTAGGTCGGTTCTCAGCCCTGGGAGGAGAGCGGCGAACAAAACGAAGTCTCCGCTTTCCATCCCAGATCACTGTGTGTGTGTAGGGAGGCGGGAGGTCCTACCCACATAAACACCCACATAAACAAGCTGTTTTCGGAAAGTGGTAAGTGCTGTGTGGAAAATGGGGCAATACAATACTAGAGCATGGGGCAGCACTGCCTCGCAGAAACATAACGTGAGGCATGTAATTTTACATTTGCCAGTAGCTACATTGGAAAGGGTAAAAAGCAACACGTTTATCATTAGAGTTAATTTTGTTTTGTTTTGCTTTGTTTTTGAGACAGGGTCTCACTCTGCTACCCAGGCTGGACTGCAGTGGCATGATGTTAGCCCACTGTAACCTCTGCCTCCCAGGCTCAAGCAATCCTCCTATCTCAGCCTCCCAAGTCGCTAGGACTGCAGGCACACACCACCCACACTCAGCTCATTTCTTAATGTTTTATGGAGACAGGGTCTCACTACATTGCCCAGGTTGCTCTCAAACTCCTAGGCTCAGGCAATCCTCCTGCGTCAGCCTCAGAGTATTGGGATTACAGGCATGAGCCACTGTTCCTGGTCTATTAGTTAATTTTAATTATTAATTTAATATTTAACTGACTATATCCAAAATACTAACATTTCAACATGTAGCCCATATAAACAATTATCAGTGAAATAGTTATTTTTTCATACTAATAGTTTACATATTTTTCACACTAAGTCTTTGAAATCTGATACAAGTTTTATACACACAGTCCATCTAGACCCTTAATTTTTAATGGAGATACCTGATCTGTGCTTAATTTCATAAAACCTTTGGAAAAGTAGAGTCACATACCCAAGTTGTTCCAGACATACTTTAAAGTTTTACAGTAACCAAATTGAGTACAGTTTTTCATTTTAAATTGACAGTAAATTACTTTTAATAATTTTAGCAATAATTTTAAAATTATTTTATTATTGTTTTCGTAGTGAATCGATTGGAATGAAAATCAGTTCCAGGCTGGGCACAGTTGCTCATGCCTATAATCCCAGCACTTTGGAAAGCCTAGGCAGGCTGATTACTTGAGCCCAGGAGCTGGAGACCAGCCTAGGCAACATAGCAAAACCCTGTCTCTGAAAAATACAAAAATTAGCTGGATGTGGTGGTGGGTGCCTGTGGTCCCAGCTACTTGAAGGCTGAGGTGGGAGGATCGCTTGAACCCAGGAGGTTGAGGCTGCAGTGAGCCGAGGTCACACCACTGCACTCGCGCCTGGGCAACAGAGCAAGACCCTGTCTCAAAAAAAAAAAAAGAGAAAAGGAAAAAAAGAAAATGAGTCCCTGAGTTGTACCAGTCTTATTTCCTGTGCTCAGTTTTCACATGTGGCTAGTGGCAGTCACAGTGGACAGCATAGGTATAGACTGACACAGGGCAGAGATTCTTTGAGATGGGTGGATAGAGGGGCCCCCTCGAGGAGGTGATCTGACCACATCTTCCCTCCTCCACTCCACCCACCCTAGTCATGCCACCAACATTTTCCCTGGATTTCCGCAAAGCTACCTAGTGAGTCCTCTCCTCACTCCTGTTCCCTGTCCTAACACACAGTTTACCCACCATATAGACATGCCCCAAATTTTTGTTACATGTTGTCTGATGGTGTCACTCCCCTGCTCAGCTCTCCCTCCTCCCCCAGTGATGTCACACTTGGGATCACATCCAACCTGCTCAGCACCCACTTCATGATCCAGCACCTCCTGCCTTAGCCCACCCTCCCCACTGCACTCACTCTGCCTCAGTACACTGACCTTGCTGTCCTCACACCAAGCCTGCGCCCACCCAGGATGCTGGCACCTGCTGTGTCCCTACCTAGAATGCTCTTCCCCTAGCACCCACATGGCTCACGCTCTCATATTTCGACCTCAGCTCAGTGTGACCTCAGAGACACCTTCCCTCACCATCCCACGGCTCTAACCCCTGCCCTTGCCTGTTTATTCTTCATAGCAATGACCATGACTATCATTGTTTTTTCTTTTTCATTTTTTTTGAGACGGAGTCTCGCTCTGTCACCCAGGCTGGAGTGCAGTGGCGTGATCTCGGGTCACTGCTAGCTCCACCTCCCGGGTTCACGCCATTCTCCTGCCTCAGCCTCTCGAGTAGCTGGGACTACAGGCGCCTGCCACCACACCCGGCTAATTTTTTGTATTTTTAGTAGAGACGGGGTTTCACCGTGTTCACCAGGATGGTCTCAATCTCCTGACCTCGTGATCCACCTGTCTCGGCCTCCCAAAGTGCTGGGATTACAGGCCTGGGCACCCAGCCTATCATTGTTCTTTATATGGACTTGCTTTCCCTACTGGAATGTAAGGTGCTTGGGAGCCGGCACTCTTCCACTGTAACTCACTGCTCTCTCCCCACTATCTGGGACAGCTGGACACCTAGTAGGTGCTCAGTAAATACTTGTGAAATGGATGGCCAGAGGTCTGTACAGTCCTTATTTGCCTCCTGATCGAGAACCTGCTGCAATCTTAGGCACAAAAAGTGTTGGCCGTGCCCTTCCCTGACCGTGAGAGGGTGAGGGGGGACAAATGAGCCAGGTGTTCTGACATCTGTGTGTGTGTCTGGGGGTGTGTGTGTGCCTCCAGGTTAGGGGCCTGTGCACTCTGGCACTGCCTAAAAGACCCAGTTGGCCTCATGACCTGTCTTCTCCCCACAGCCCTGCCTTACCAGCTCTCTGCCCCTCTCTGAGTGTGGACCCTAAAGGGGGAGAAGGGATGCCAGCTGCACGGGGGAAATCCAAATCCAAGGTAAGTGGCAATTCCTGTTTCTTCAGGAACATCCCATCGTGTCTTGTGAGATGTGGACCATTTGCTTTCCTTCCATGGAGACTTGTTGCCTATTGGAGATCTATCCAACACCTAGCCCTTGGTTTTCTTCCATTGCCATGGGGGATGAGAGCCTGAGAAGGGCCCAGCAGCCAGGAAACTGGCCAGCGGGCCTCTCTCCCTTCCCCAGTGTGCACATGGCCACTTGCCTGTTGGTTCAGCATTTCTAGGGGCTTTGCTAGTGCTGGGAGAAATGTCATCCTCTCTGGAGGAAGATGAGAGCCACTGTGATTTCTCAGCATGGAGATAAATGGCCAGGTGGGGCCTGCAGTAGCAGAAAGGATTTGACATGTGCTCTGGAGTTAGTCTTGTGTGGTTTTGTTTCTCCTTGTAAAACCCATATTTACATGGAGGAAATCTCTCCAGCTAAGGTCCAAGACTCAGAGGCACCACATAGCCCTGCCATCATTGAGTGCATTGGCGCAGGCACTGAGGTGGTATGGGCAGCCTCCTGTGGTCAGCATGCTCCACCACTGTCAATCATCAAGTGGTTTTTACAACAGGCATCTCAAATGCCGTTTCCCATAACAAGCGTGTTTGCTTTCAGTTATGTGTATTAGTTCCCCCTTGCTGCCGTAACAGATTAGCTGCAAACTTGGCAGCTCAAAACAACACGTTTATTATCGTGCAGTTTTGTGGTTGACGTCCAGGCACAACATGGTTTAGCTGGGTCATCTGCTTTGGAGTTCACAGGGCTGAAATCAAGGTGTTGGTCGGCTGTGTTCTCATCTGGGGCTCAGGTCCTCTTCCAAGCTTGCTGGTTATTGGCCAGATTCAGTTCCTTCTCACACTTTCCACCTGACCCTCATTTTTCATCTTCAAGACAGCAAGAACCAATAACCAACTGGCCAGGTCAAGTCCGAGATAATCCGCCAAGGTCAAGTGGGCAGTAACCTTGATAGCACCCTAGAGAACTTTCGTCATGTGTGATATATTCACAGGTTTCTTGGAGAGCATGTGGTTAGGAGATTAAATCGGGAGCTGCACTATCTGGGCTGAACCCGAGCTTCTCCATTTACTAGCTGTGAGACCTGCAGGAAGTTTTCTTCTGTCTCTGGGCCTCTGTTTCCTCATCTGTAACATCCTGTGATTCTGCTGACAGTGCCTCTGTCACCGATTCACATGAGCCCTAAGTGAACCAGCACAGTCAGGTGCTTAGAAGAATGCCTTGACTTTGTAAATGCCTGGTCTATCCAGGCTGCCGCGTGTTCTTAATGCAACATAATTTTAATAACAGCTATGTCTTCTATTGTATTTTATTTAATTTATTTAACACACCTGCCCCTTTTGGCCTCAGAACCCTGAATGCTTCCTGAATGATTCTTGGTACCTTGTGTCTCCCATGTTTAAGATGTGTGCACCGTTTCCTCCAGCCACGTGGAAGCACAAGTCCATGGTGAATAGACATTTGACTTTTCATTTCAGGCACCTATAACATTTGGGGACTTAGCCATCTACTTCTCCCAGGAGGAGTGGGAATGGCTGAGCCCCATTCAGAAGGATTTGTATGAAGATGTCATGTTGGAGAATTACCGGAACCTGGTCTCGCTTGGTAAGGCTCTTCTTCCCCAACAATCCAGAACCAGCCTACTGAGGGACATGCATCACTCTGGGTCTGGTCCGGAAAATGGAAACCACTGCAATTTCTGTTTTTAAAGAGCTTTATTGAGATATAATTCACATACTATACAATTCACCCATAAAAATTGCACAATTAAATGGTTTTTATAATAGTGTATGCAGAGTTATGCATCCATCACCACAATCAATTATATTTTCATTATTCCCACCCCAAAACCCAGTACCCGTAAGCAGTGACTCTTCGTCTCCCCCAACCACTCATACCCCCCAGATTGGGCAACTACTAGTCCATTTTCCATCTCTATGGATATGCCTGTTCTGGTCCTTTCATACATATGAAATCACAAATATGTGGCTTCTTTCATTTACGATGTTTTTGAGGTTCATCACGTTGTAGCATGTGCCAATACCTCATTTCTTTTCATTGCCAAATAATATGTATTGTATGGATAGACCACATTTGTTTATCCAGTCATCAGTTAATTGACGGGCATTTGGGTTGTTTCCACTCTCGTTATTTTGATATGCTGGCTATGAACATATACAAGTTTTTTGTGTGGATGTATGGTTTCATTTCTCTGAGGTATATACCTAGGGGTAGAATTGCTGGGTCTTATGGAAACTCTGTAGGTAAGTTTTGAGTTCTTTTGATAGATTTTTTTTTTTTGGAGACAGAGTCTTGCTCTGTCTCCAGGCTGGAGTGCAGTGGCGCGATCTCGGCTCACTGCAACCTCCGCCTCCCAAGTTGAAGCGATTCCCCTGCCTCAGCCTCCCAGGTAGCTGGGATTACAGGCGCGCTCCACCACAGCTGGCTAATTTTTTGTATTTTAGTAGAGACGGGGTTTCACCATGTTGGCCAGGATGGTTTCGATTTCCTGACCTTGTGATCTGCCCACCTCAGCCTCCCAGAGTACTGGGATTACAGGTGTGAGCCACCGTGCCCGGCCCTCTTTTGATAGAATTTAAGGAATTGATTTAAGAGGTGTTGTTGAATGGTGAATTGTGGACATTGATGTAACTGCAGGATGCTGCCACCATCCCTGGGGTTGGAGGGACAAAGGGAAGAGTTTAGGGTTTTTAGGGCTTCAAAGAAGGTCTCCTCGGATCTGGGACTCACACTTCTGAAGGAGGAGGCAGTGTGCTACCTGATTTGTTTATACTTCAGAGGGGCCAGATGAAACTGGTTCTGGGAATACAGAACTAAAAAAAACCCAAACATTGAAACCAGCAAAGCCCGTTATTGGTGGATGTTGACAGGAAGCAGCTGGTGAAGCAGAAGTGAAGATAGCAAAGCCCCAGCCCTGGCACACAAAACAGACAATAAAAGGGTGGGGGTCTGGAGCAGAAAGACAGTAAGTTCATAACCAGCCTCAGGAGCTTCTGACCTAATTCTCAGGAAAATAGTTTGCTTTGTAGAATTAACGTTTAACAACTCTACTGGCTATAATTTAGATTTCTGCCTCCACGTGTGAGATTTAAACAACCAAACTCAACACCGCACACGCTAACACCAGATGTTTGGGGATCTTCCCACACACACCAAACAGTTCTCCAGCAGACTCCAGCGGGGTGTCCTCCAATTCAATTCTGACAGTGTCTACCTGGAGATAGTGTCAGATCCCACAGGGTAAGGGCCCAGTCCCACAAGACTGTCCCCTACTTCAGAGGCCTTCCGACTGACTAGCTCTAAATTCGGGGATTCCCATGACCCTCTCCTCAAGTTCAGTCATTTGCTAGAGCAGCTTTCAGAACTCAGGGAGGCGCTTTATTTGTGCTTACCAGTTTAGTGTAAAAGATATTACAGAGGATGCAGTTGAACAGCCTGATGGAAGAGATGCAGAGGACAGGTTATGGGGGAGGGGCACAGAGCATGCACCTTCTACTGCACCACCTTCCACGTGGTCAACAACCCTGAGGCTCTCCAAACCCAGTCCACTGGGGGCTTTTAAGGAGGCTTCAGGTAGGCAAGGTTGATTAAATCATTGGCCATTAGTGATCGGCTCAACCTCCAGCCCCTGACCCCTCCCCAGAGGTCAGGAGGTGGGACTGAAAGTTCCAACCCTCTAATCACATGGTTGGCAATCACCGGCCCCCATCTGAAGGCTGTCCAGGAGCCCCCAGGCACAGTCTTCTCATTAACATACAAAAGGCACATATGCAGGAGATTCCAAGGGTTTAAGGAGCTGTGTGCCAGGAAACGGGGGTGAAAAGCAAATACATATTTCTTATTAGAAATCACAATATCACACTCCCCATTCTCCAGCCGCCCTTCACATCCTGCGTGCTCCCTTCATGTTACTACACCTGCATTCCTGTTGATGCAGAATGTGGCTATGACTTCTGTGGTGCCCACATTTATGATCATTTCCCATGTTTGTCCCATGTACAGGTCTTTCCTTTCGGAGACCAAATGTGATCACCTTATTGGAGAAAGGGAAAGCGCCCTGGATGGTAGAGCCAGTAAGAAGACGCCGGGCTCCTGGTGAGTGACAGAGAACCACGGCATATGTCTCGGTCTACTGGGGCTGCTATAACAGAATGCCATACACTAGGTGACTTACAAACAACAGAAATATACTTCTCACAGTTCTGGAGGCTGAGAAGTCGAAGATCAATGCCTGAGCAGATTCGGTGTCTGGTGAGGACCACTTCCTGGTTCATAGGTGGCACCTTCTTGCTGTGTCTGCACATGGAGGAAGGAGGGAGCTCTCTGGGAGAGAAATTATAGGTGATTATAGATGATATTAATCTCATTCATGAGGGTTCCACCTTCGTGATTTAAACACCTCCCAAGGGCCCTGCCTCCTAATACCTTTACCTTAGATAGTAAGATTTCAGCATATATTAGTTCTATTTTTAGTGTTTGGAGGAACCTCCAAACTGTTCTTCCCATACTGTTCTCAGTAGTGGCTGTACTAATTTACATTCCCACAGTGTACGAGGGTTCCCCTTTCTCCATATCCTCACCAGCATTTGTTTTGCCTGCTTTGGGATAAAAGTCATTTTAACTAGGGTGAGATGATACCGTGTAGTTTTGATTTGCATTTTTCTGATGATCAGTGATGTTGAGCACTTTCTCATATGCCTGTTTGCCATGTGTATGTATGTCTTCTTTTGAGAAATGTCTATCAGATCTTTTGCCTATTTTTTAATTGGATTATTGCATTTTTTTCTATAGAGTTGTTTGAGCTCCTTGTGTATTCTATGGTTATCAATCCCTTGTCAGATGGGTAGTTTATATTTTCTCCCATTCTGTAGATTGTCTCTTCACTTTGTTGATTGTTTCCTTTGCTGTGCCCAAGCTTTTTAACTTGATATGATTCTATTAGTCCATTTTTAGTTTCATTGCCTGTGTTTGTGGGGTATTACTCAAGAAATCTTTGCACAGACCAATGTCCTGGAGACTTTTGCCAGTGTTTTGTTTTAGTAGTTTGATTGTTTTAGGTCTTAGATTTGTCTTTAATCCATTTTGATTTGATTTTTGCATATTGCAGAGATAGGGGTCTAGTGTCTTTTGCATGTGGATATTCAGTTTTTCCAGCACTATTTCTTGAAGAGACTGTCCCTTCTCCAATATATATTTGTAACATCTTTGTTGAAAATGAATTCACTGTAGATGTATGGATTTATTTCTGGGTTCTCTATTCTGTTCCATTGGTCTGTGTGTCTGTTTTTATCTCAGTACCATGCGGTTTTGGTTACTATAGCTCTGTAGTATAATTTGAACTTAGGCAATATGATTCCTACAGTTTTATTCTTTTTGCTCAGGATGGCTTTGGCTATTCTGGGTCTTTTGTGGTTCCATATAAATTTTAGGATTATTTTTTCTATTTCTGTGAGGAATGTCTCTGGTATTTTGATAGGGATTGCATTGAATCCATAGATTAATTTGGGTAGTGTGGGCATTTTACTAATAATTATTCTTCAAAGCCATGAGCATGGACTATCTTTTCATATTTTTGTGTCCTCATCAATTTCTTGCATCAAGGTTTTGCAGTTTTCATTGTAGAGTTCTTTCACTGCTTTTGTTAAGTTTATTCCTAGGCATTTTATTTTATTTGTAGCTATTGTAAATGGAATTACTTGATTTCTTTTTCAGATTGTTCACTGTTGGCATATAGAAATGCTGCTGGATTTTTATATGTTGATTTTGTATCCTGCAACTTTACTAAATTTATCAGTTGTAATAGTTTCTAGGGTGGATTTTTTACGATTTTCCAACCAAAAGATCATATCATCTGCAAAGAAGAATAATTTGACGTCTTCTTTTCCAACTTGGATGCCTTTTATTTCTTTCTCTTCTCTGAGTGCTCTAGCTAGGACTTCCAGTGCTATGTTGAATGTAGAATAATAGTTGTGAAAGTGGGCATTCTTTTTATGTTTCTGATCTTACAGGAAAGGCTTTCAGGTTTTTTTTCCATTCAGTATGATACTACCCATGGGTCTGTCATATACAGCTTTTATTTTGTTGAGGAATGTTCCTTTATACCCAGTTTTTTTGAGGGATCATGTCATGAAGGGATGTTAAATTTTATCAAATGCTTTTCAACATCAACTGAAGTGATCATATGTTTTTTGTCCTTCATTCTGTTTATATATATCATTGATTTGCATATGTCAAAGCATCCATGCATTCCTGGGATAAATCGCTCTTGTTCATGATGAATGATCTCTTTAATGTGTTGAATTCAGTTTGCTAGTATTTTGTTGAGGATTCTTGAGTTAATATTAATGAAAGATATTGGTCTGTAGCTCTTTTTTTGATGTGTCCTTGGTTTTGGTATCAGGGTAATACTGGCCTTGTAGAATGAGTTTGGAAGTATTCTCTCCTCCTCTGTTTTTTGGAATAGTTTGAGTAGGATTGGTATTAGGTTTTTTTTTTAAGTATTTGGTAAAACTCAGCAGTGAAGCTATCAAGTCCTGGGCTTTTCTTTGCTGGGAAACTTTATTACAGCTTCAATCTCATTGTTTGTTATTGCTGTGTTCAGGTTTTGGATGTCTTCATGATTCAGTCTTGGTAGGTTGTATGTGTCTAGGAATTTATCTATTTATTCTAGGTTTTCTAATATATTGGCCTAGGTTGCTCATAGTAGTCTCTAATGATCCTTTGAGTATCAGCTGTAATCATTCCTTTTGCATCTCTGGTCTTATGTCTTTTTTTCTTAATCTGATTAAAACTTTGTCAATTCTGTTTATCTTTTTGAAGAAATTTCATTTTGTTGATCTTTTGTGGGTTTTGTTGTTGTTGTTGTTGTTGTTGTTGTTTTGAGACAGAGTCTCGCTCTGTCACCCAGGCTGGAGTGCAGTGGCACAATCTCGGCTCACTGCAAGCTCCACCACCTGTGTTCATGCAATTCTCCTGCCTCAGCCTGCCAAGTAGCTGGGATTACAGGTGTCTGGGTGCTACCACACCCAGCTAATTTTTGCATTTTTAGTAGAGACGGGGTTTCACTATGTTGGTCAGGCTGGTCTTGAACTCCTGACCTCAGGTGATCTGCCCACCTTGGCCTCCTAAAGTGCTAGGATTACAGGTGTGAACGACCATGCCCAGCCTCTTTTGTGGTTTTTTAAATTTCATTTCTTTCTGCTCTGATCCTTACTATTTCTTTTTTTCTGCTAACTTGCGATTTGGTTTGCTTTTGTGTTTCTAGTTCATTAAGATGCATCATTAGGCTATCTGAAGTTTTTCTACATTTTTGGTGTATGTGTTTATTGTTACAAACTCTCTTCATACTGCTTTTACTGTATCCCATAGGTTACAGCATATTTTCATATGTTGTGTTTTCATTATCATTTGTTTCAGGGAATTTTTAAATTTTAATTAAGAAATTTCTTCAGGCCGGGGGTGGTGGCTCATGCCTGTAATCCCAGCACTTTGGGAGGCAGAGGTGGGCAGATCACCCAAGGTTGGGAGTTCGAAACCAGCCTGGCCACCATGGTGAAACGCTGTCTCTGCTAAAAATACAAAAAAGCTATCTGGGCATGGTGGTGGATGCCTGTAATCCCAGCTACTCAGGAGGCTGAGGCAGGAGAATTGCTTGAACCCAGGAGGTGGAGGTTGCAGTGAGCCGAGATTGCGCCATTGCACTCTAGCCTGGGCAAGAACAGCGAAACTCTCTCTCAAAAAAAAAAAAAGAAATTTCTTCATTGATCCACTGGTCATTCAGTATTATATTTTTAAATTTCAATGTGTTTGTAACTTTCCAAAGTTCTTTTCATTATTGATTTCTAGTTTTGTTCCATTGTGATCAGAGAAGATACTTGATATGATTTCAATTTGAAAGACTTTTTTTTTTTTTTTTTTTTTGGAGACAGGGTCTTGCTCTGTCACCCAGGCTGAAGTACAGTGGTGTGATCACGACTTACTGCAGCCTCAACCTTGTAGGCTCAAGCAATACTCCCGTCTTGGCCTACTGAGTAGCTGGGACTACAGGCATGTGCCACCACGCCTGGCTAATTTTTGTGTTTTTTTTAAAGATGGGATTTCATCATAGTGCCCAGGCATTGAGCTCAAGCAATCCACCTGCCTCAGCCTCCCAAAGTGCTGGGATTACAGGTGTGAGCCAGTGCACCCAGCTTTTTTTTGGATTTTTAAGACTTGTCTTGTGTCCTAATATTTCATGGTCTATACTTGAGAATGATCCATGTGCTGAGGAGAATGTGTAACCTGTAGTCATTGGATGAAATTGTCTAAATATCTACTAGGTCCATTAGGTCCGATGTTTCTTTGTTGATTTTCTGTCTGGATGATTTGTGCAATGCTAAAATGAAGTGGTTAGGTCTCCAACAATTACTGTATTGTGGTCTGTCTTTCTCTTTAGCTCTGAATATGTTTGCTTTATATATCTGGGTGCTCCATTGTTGGGTGTGTATATATTTACAATTGTTATATCCTTTTGCTGAATTGATCCTTTTAGCATTATATGACTTTCTTTATATCTTTCCATACTTTTTGTCTTAAGCTCTATTTTATCTAAGTATAGCTGCTCCTGATCTTTTTTGGTTTTCATTTGCATGGGATATTTTTTTCCCTCCCTTTATTTTTAGTCTGTGTGTGTCTTTATAGGGAACGCATGTTTCTTGTGGGGAACAGTTCATTGGGTCTTTTTGAAAATTCATCCAGCCACTCTGTGGCTTTTGATTGGAGATTTAGTCCATGTACATTTAATATTTATAAGTAAGGACCTACTACTGACATTTTGTTATTTGTTTTGGTTGTTTTGTGGCCTTTTATTTTTCCTTCTTGTCTTCCTTTTTGTGAAAGTGATTTCCTCTGATGGTATGTCTTAATTTCTTGAATTATATTTTTTTGTGTATCTCTTAATGTATTTTTTTATTTGATGTCACCATGAGGCTTGTAAATAACATCTTATAACCCATTAATTTAAACTGATGACAGTTTGTGCAAAAACAAACCAACAAACAAGCAAAGAGAAACTAATAAAAACTCTATACTTTAAATTCATCTCCCCTGCTTTTTAA